TCTTCTGCAGCACACCACGCCAAGTATTGTGTATTCTCTGTGTACGACATAATGTGATGCATAATCTTGGGGGCTGCTTACAACTCTGCTCTCCGCCCTCGCGTTGCAGCATGGCCAACCCCGTGGTCTCGAGCGTAGCATCACCGCAATCGCTTACCTAGCTTGCCTAGCTCCTTTCACCTTGGACCGCCCCAGGCCTGTGACAGGTCAATCTACCCGTATCTCAGCATCATTTTGCAAGGTACGCGAGTCGGCCCGCGCGGTGAGCCCCGTTTTGTGATCTGTCATATCTCTTCCCCTCATTCATCGCGTCAACTCTACATGCTCTCGGGTGACACACGCTGGGGTGAGCATGGTGCTGGATAGCTCAGCTCAGCTTGCTTTACTTCCTCCACGGGCCAGGGCAGACAGAGCTTTGTCTCTGCTGAAGGGACTTGACAAGGACGGGATGTACAAGGCGTCACAAGCCTCTTCCCAGAATCCTTTTACGAACTCGCACATGTAGGTGGATGGCCAGGCTTGCCTCTTCCTTTGAGTTATACCGCCGTTGCGTGTTTGGATTCGGGCAAAGTGCTCGAACCGTTCTTGACTCGAGTGGCATACAAGCCTGGTCAGGTCAGTGGCCTGCTGACATGGAGTAAGAGCCATTCATCTGCACCTTGCAAGACGCATTTAGCAACGAACTAAGGGCACGGCACATGGTCGACCAACATAACGTTCGACGAGTACCCTGCAAGCTTTGCGCCTGAGGTGCCTTCAGACGGCTGCAATCCCGCAGTCGTGTGAGTTGAAAAGATGGCAGGAATACTCGAGCAGCGGCTGAGTGTCCTCTCCCATCCGCGCATCGACGCATCCCGATCGATCTTGACCGCATCGAGCAAGAACACGTCTGACCTCGCGGGCTTGGTTCTCGTGCAGGTCTCGAGTTGAATGCCATTCTCAGCCTCATGCAGAGTCAGCGAGCTCAAGCCATGCCAAAGTGACAGATCACTTTGGGCGACCGGAGACATGCTCCTTATGGCAGTGCTCTAACCCGCCAAGCAGAGAGGCATACACAACCTCCCCATGGGAGATGGAGGGGAGGATCTGGATGCACTGCGGGAATGTGAGTGGTTGGTGCTTCCCCTGGAAATCCGGTGAAGCTTGTTGTATCCTTCCGTCTGGGTACTTGGCCCAGCTGGCGAGGATACAACAGCTGCAGGAGCAGCGCGCCGTGGAGCACAGCCAGCCCTTGGCTTCCTTGCTCTCCTATGTTTCGCAATAATGATGTTCGGGAGGCGAGCGCCCCCATTGAGCATGCCCGCATCATGTGCAGTCTGCCACGTCAGTCCCAACCCCACACTAGGGCTTAGTAGTAGCCCATCAGACCTGCTGAAGAAGTCTGAAGCTCGAGTTTCATCATATTTTGATCCCATTGATCTACTACCACTGCACGATGCTGGTGCATCCCGTCTGCTGATCTCAGCTCGCGGTAGCGTCGCCACGGTTAGCCCATGGATCGCTCCTCTGTGGGAGCAGTTCGCGTCGGATGCGGCACTGATCGATGGGCTGGCTCCCCGGCATGCTAAGGGAGCGGAAAGCCGTCGCGATATCACGCAAGGTTATCGGCTCCCCGAGCGGGGATGAGGGCATATCACTGGTGCCAGCACTTTGATGTCGTAATATCATTGTGTTCTCGCCATTGACCCATCTTCAAATGGCGGATCTGCAAAGCTGGAGCGACACTCTTTGGTACTACTCAATATTTGCTGCAGGCGATATGGGATATCAAGCCTCCTGTTGGATCTCGACGCATCCCAATGCGGCGCTACTCGAGCAACTACAGAAACATCGGTGGCTCCCCATCATGACAAGACCGCTGTTCGTCAATGGCATGACATGATGGCGGATGTCATATCATCCCAAAAGACCAGCCAGTGTTGGGGTACTGCCCCTGGCAAGGCGGGCCAAACATATCGTGAAGATAAGGTGTCGTCGTTGAGACGGTCGTACACGGAGAGCCAAAAGTCTCCGGCACACGATATTTTCCCACACACACATACACACGCACACACAGACGTCCATACACACACGAGACCTCCGAGACATGTCCTGCGGGGCCACACCGCGATGCAACATCAGCTGTCACTCGAGGCGCACGACATGAAAGTGCTGCGTTCCCATATTGGCTGGAATGATCAGGTTCAATGTATGCTGGTAGCCGACAGTGCTTGGGGCCTGGCCTGCAGCCACTGAACTCTGTTTCTTTTCTGGGTCTCATTTTATATCGCAGAACGAGACATTTTCAGAGCGAAGATATGACCCCTGCAGTTGCAGATTGAGGCCGGCGAGGGGGGAAAAAAGCAACAAGCATTGAAGCCATGCAGTTCGCTTTCTAGCCCTCGCGAACCCAGCTGATAGAAGCTATCAAAAGACGGTTTGGTTCTAAGACAAGACAGGGGGCAGAGGCCAGCTGGGTCAGACATTGATACCATTGCTTCTTCCTCCCCCCGGGAACATGCAGCTCCCGCACGCCGCTGTCAGCCGGCGTCAGCCGGGCAGACCGGTGGGAATGAATGAGGTTCAACTCTACTGGGCCCTCTCCCCTCTCTAGCTCGGTGTAGAGCGTCAATGTGCACCTGTGCCTGTCCCAATCCGTCGTGCGATATGCCGGAGGCCGACGTGCCTCGCGATCCTACCATCACCCGTTTCTTCTTCTGCCTGCCTTCCTGCCGTGCTACCGACGCCGACTGCGGCCACCCGCTTTACTTTCTGCATGGGGCCCCTGGCTTCTGCTTCTTCATTTCCTCGCTGATTTTGTGTGTTTTGCTCACTTCTCATGTCTCACCCTGCGCGTGACGACAGTGCTGCAGGCTTTGGCTGCTTTCACCGGTTGAAGATTTTTCTTGGTCTTTTGTGATAGAACGATTTTCTCTCGTTACCTACCACCCCGTGTCGCGCGACAACGAGTGTACCTTTTATTACCTTGGAGCGCGTACTTCGTACTCGCTTTGCCTTTGGTTGCCTTCTTCTTGTTCTCCCCCCCTCAATCCTTCACCGCAACTTTCGCATCACCCGGCCATTCCCTGGCGCACGCCTTGCTTCGGCGCCGACCCGTCCACCAGTAGTCCGTCGGTCGTTGTCCCGGAGTGACCACTTACACGCAAAAAAAAGAGGGTCCCGTCGTCTTCTTTCTCGGTGAGGACCAGTCAACGGTACGCCGCCCCCTCCTCCTTGCCCTCCCCCTTTGCTGGCATGGGCTTGGGTAGTGAGACAACTCCTACCACACACACCTGCAAGACGGCACGGGTGAGTGACCTGACAAGCGGGAGGAAGAAGGACAGCATGCCAAAAAAGAAGCAAGGTGAGACCTCGGCGGGCGGGCGTCCCCGCTGAAGGATATTGGGGGAAAAGCACCTGTCGACAACCTGCCCACCAACCCCTCCTCCTCCTCCTCCGTCCAACCTTGTGGCTGATGGAGGAGGTCCATCCAGCGGGATGGGAGGACGAATCACACACACCCCTGGTCCCGCTGTCTCTTTCGCCGCATCGCAGCGAGGACGGGAGCTCAAGACACAGGATCTCCTCTTTGGGCGAGCTGCTGATTCTAATCTCTCATTTCCCCTCTCGCACGCATTCATGTTGTGCCGCCATCGTTTGATAGGACGGGCAACGACCAGCCCAGTCTGATATCCGGACGCCTTCCCTCTCTCACCGGCTTCGTTTTGTGGATAATGTCTCTACGGGTCCTCTCTCTTGATGAGCAAGCTGGCACCGGGAGGCCAAAAGAAATGTGACTTGTTCCAGAATGATGCACGACGAGAAAGGGGCTGCATGGTCTTGGCCCTCTCTCGCCAGGGGTTATCCTCGCTCTAATGAGCAGATTTGTAAACAGGCAACCTGGCTTTGCGGCGGGATGTCGAATCCCCTTGATATTGGGGGAGCAGAGAGATGGTCACGCCCAGGTACCTAGTGTGTACATCCCCAGAGAGCTGACTTTGTCGTCCTGTATCGATACCTAGTCTTGCCTAGTAATCACAGAGCAACGCTAATTTTGTCATCCGGAAGCATTGAATTGACGGAGAGATAGCCAGGGCCCAGTGTGTCCCGCAACGACAGCGCTGCGTGTCTGTTGACCGGATGGTGTGATCCACGTAGACCTTGAAGCCATCGCCTGATCGTTGTGCTCGCCGTCAACCCACCCCCATCCTTGTGGCACAACACTGGGCCCCCAGCCTCACTTTTTGTGGCTCGCAGCTAGCTAGCTAGAGGACGGAGAAATAGATGAAAGGAAGAAAAAAGAGGCTGTGTAAGGAGCGATCCACTGCCCGCCGCAATCCTCCGTTGTTTCACCGTCCTTTCAGCGCGAGACACTAATTCGCTGCCATTGCGCGGCCCCCCTTTCCCGTGCCGTAGACGGGGTCTGAGGCTGAGAGGGCTCCGGGGGACAAGACGATGAAGGGTTCATCCCCGTTCGCCAAACACTCGGTATCCGAACGGGACTATAGAGAACACGGTATAGCCGGACGACCCGATTACGCCGCGAAACGGCCCGGACTGGGGTGGCCTGTGTTTGCTGCGCCGCGCCATACGGAGCTAAGGTTCATCAGGCTTGTGTTTCAGAGGAAAGTGCCGGACGACAGAGATTGATTGTTCTGAAATGGAAGATTATTACTTGGGTATTTGCTATGGATGGAGCTCCATGTCCATGATTACTGAGATAGCGCAGGATTCTATCCTCGACATCTGCACAGGGTTTGTCCTTTGGTGTTTTGTAAACAACCCAGGAGAAACCAAGTGGATCTTCCTCCACCGACAGTCCTTGTATCGTATGCGGCTATGCCGAAGCCCTATCATCTCCCGTTGCGTTCTAGACGTCTTCCTTCTCCTCAGCTCGACAAGGGCTGTCCGGAACAACCCACGAGCTGGGGCTCAAAACGGACCACTTCACGCCGCTTCGTCACAACACCCTCATGCCCCTGATCTATTACTTCTGCGGTCAAGGTTTCAGACTGGCCGTGCTACCATTGTCTCGGCTGTGGGTGCTGCGTAATTTCCTTGATGACCTCCCTTGTTCGGGCATTGTCCTCGAAACTCAGATTGATGAGGTCGATCACCTCGTCGAGCGTAAAGTAGAGACTTAGGTCACTCTCCATCCACAGGAAGCGTACGTCGCGCAGGTTGGACTGCAGGACCTCGGACAGAAACTTCAGGCGGAACCACGTAGGCACGTATTGACCCGTCATGGGCACTTCATCCTCTGGTGCGTGAGCTGAGGCCCCCGAGCCGTGGCTAGGCAGGAAGAGATCGTCCAGCTCGGTGACCTTGGCGATGAGGTTTGCAATCTTGTAAGCCTCGTCCTGTCCGATCGCCGGCATGTCCATGACATCGGCGATGATCTTGGTAGACACGGCGTCCACGAGGGAGCCGACAGCCTGATACCAGGCCGATCTAGCCAATATGTTTTCCCAGACTGTTGCTGTAGACCGTACGAGGGAAATGGCCGCGTCGGCGGCCATGTCTGAGTCGTCCTGCTGGAAGAGGTTGTATGAACCTACGAAAAAGTGCGCAGTCAGCACGGATTCGGCTGATACTCTGGCTTGAGGCTTGTAACTTACCTGCTAGATGATCCCTGATGATGGTCTTTCGAATATTCATCTCTTTGCTGTACGTGCGATTCGCAAAGTTCTGGAGCGTCTTGATCTCATTGTCTAGTCGGAGCATGTTCTGCGCCCTGGTGCTGAGGTCTTCTCGCTTCTTCCACGATGACGAGAAGTCCCCTAGCCTCTCGGCCAGATACATAGCGTCGTTGTATAAGTACCTTGAACTATCGATCAGCTTCTGGCTTCGAGTGTATTCCAGGTCGCCAAGCAACACCAAAAGATATTGACTTACATGTTTCCGCCGTCACTGGGAGAGTAGTAATGCCCTGATATAGCTCGGTACATAGCCAGAGCTAGAGTAGGCAAGCTGAACAGGCCTGCTGCAGCGGCTGTGACGGGCGAGCTCTCGTGACTGTTGACGCTATTAGTTGGCGCATGTCCTCAGGTAGTTGAACATGACATGAGCATACCTAGCGGAGGTCAACGCCGCACCATCCTCCAGGATAGCGTAGACCAGTGTCAAGACCTGATCTGGTAGTGAGGATATGTGATACGTTTCGCGGAGCGTCATCTCTCGAGTCTCGTTTGGAGGATGTCTAGACACGTCGGGTTGTGCCGTCGCTGTTTCTTGTGGCTCCTCCGTCGTCTCCTCGTCTCCCCAGCCCCATGCGTCTCCAGTATCGTCATCCTCTTGCGCGTGAGGTTCGGAGAGGGGCTCCTGCGCTTTACTTTCCTCTTCGGGTTTGTCATCTGCTGGCTCATTCTCATCACCCCATGCACCCCAGGCATCAGCGCCGTCGTCTTCTACCTCCTCGGGATTGTTCAAATCGGTTGGCTGAGTAGACGTCTTGGTTTCTACGCCTTGGTCCTCTTCATCAGACCAGGCGGCATCCCAGTCCTGGTTATCCTGATTGTTCGCTGCCGCCGCGGAAGTCCCATTCGTTGTCAGCTTTTTGCCCTCAGAGAGTGACACCATTTGTGTTTCGACCCGCTCAACCTCAGTTGATGGCCCCAGGCCTCTTGCCAGACGAGCTCTGACAGCATCCAGGGCCGTCTCCCTGCATTTAGACAGCCATACCTTGGGAGCGCTGTCGATCCAGTCCTCTAATTCACCAAAACCCTTGAAGTTGAGCCTTGCGGATGTCTCACAGAACCTTCTCGTCGCAGAAAGGACATCCTCGAACTCCTCCATATCCTTCAATGTCGACGGAACTGCAGAACTCAACCAGATACCAGTGATTCTCGAGACGATTTGGGGTATCATGACTTCTGAGAGCGCTTGAATAAGGTCTTCTGGTAGTTTCGCGGATAGGAAAGTCAATATTTTCTCTAAATCCGCATAGAGTGACGTTATGCTTCTATCCGTCTCGCCGGTGGCTTTCAAAATCGTGTCGTTGACGTGGATGGTCGGCAGCCGAGGCCCAGCCAGATTAGTCCTAGGTCCAATAATGGCAGTGTCGAGATCATGCCAGAGCAGAGCCATCCGTTGATCGACCTCCTTGTAGGCCTTCAGCCCAATGACGGCATCGGGTAGACTCATAGGCTCACCATCTCGTGACTGGGTGACCGTCAACGTCTTCTGTTCCAAGTCGACGTGTACCAAAGCCTTCCAGACCCGCTCAAAGACTTCGTGAACGTCTGATTTGAGTTCGAAGGCGCGGATGTCGAGTAATTTCATGGCCCGGCATGACTTGCTAGCCGATATAGAGTCGAGTTCCGTCCATGACCGTTCCAGCAGGTGAAGGGCGTCAAGGATGCGCCGCTGGCTCGATGCTTCTTCTACCTCGTCAAGGGTCTTGTTCACGGTTCGCAGGCCCCTCAAGACTTGTTGAATCTGGTAATTATAGTCCAACTCCCTGACAATAAATGCGGCCTTCTCTTCTGCTTCTTCTACAGACTTGCCGGAGACATCGGGGTTTTCCGAGCGCTTGACGATGTCGTTGGCAAGCCTTTTGGACCGAGCTATGTCGTCCTGTATTGACCTCGCATTGTTGAACCAAGCATTGACGTCTTCGGCGCTCTCTTCATTGATGCTTCGGATTTGATCCTGGTAAAAGGTTAGCTCTACATGCGCCACCATGGATATGGTATCTTGGACAGCCGTGCCTCGAGCTTCGTCTTCGCTTCCGCAAGGGCCTGAATAGCTCCGGGAAGCTCTTCCGAGGTGAGCTTGACGGAAGAAACGGTCTCATCAGGGAACAAGCCACTCGTCGAGAAGTCGACGAGGGCTTGTCCGAGGCTGGTAGCACCAGCCATTTTTGCAAAGGCTCACAAAGGCGGGGATTGAGGCGAATGCAGCTCGAGAATCGTCGGCGCTCGGGACGACACGGTGGCCTTTGGCGGGGGGGATGTCGTCGTGTGCGTGTGTGTACAGGCTATGGAGGTCGCCTCATTCTCCAAAACGCCATCTACAACGGTCTAGGGGTTATCGGAGCCTTGGATGCTTTTGGCGCAGTGGATTCTCCGGCTGACATGAAGCTTCACCATAAGTCGCGACAGTTGGAACACGCTGGAGGAAGCTCGGGCCATGTAATGATGCACCCGTGCATGCTGGGCCCACTGTAAAACGAAGCATCCCGGTGTCCACAATCAAAGCTCTAGTGGGCTTCGATAGGCCCCAGCGGCCGGGAATTTGTCTGGAAGGGATGGCGGGGTTGTCTTGAAGCGGGAGCTCAAGCTTTCACAGTCGCTGTCATATCTCAACTCGATTCGCTCAAACCCGCGCACAAGATCTGGCTGGACATTAGGCTTTTTCGGGCCTACCCTCCAAACTGGATACTCTCAGACTGGTCCGAGGTTGAAAGATATTGACACTTTTCAACCTCTCAAGGCTGGTGCAGTTGCAGCAGCAGACGCTCGTGCTTGTGTGCCCGCCGTTGAGTCCATCTCATCGGATTCCAGGTCTCGAATCTGATCCGAGAGCACCCCCAGCCTCTGCTCAACAGCAAACCAAGTCGAGACCCCGGGTCGTCAAGCTCCCATCTCCAACCTGACCTAGCAAAACGGCATCCAATCGGCTTCGTGCTTTCTGGGGTGGCTCTGGTTGTGTCTTCAGATCTCACACGCAGGCCAGATCATACCGGTAAGCAAGCCCGCCCTCGCCCTCTCGCTCTTCACCCTCCACCGTGCCGAGCCCAAGTCTTTTGGTTCCCTAGGCGATATTTTCGTCCCTGTCCCATTGGCGCAAATCTTGTCAGATGTGCAATATACCCAGCGCAGACCCAGTGCAGACCCAGTGCAGATGTTGAGTGTAGGTAAATACAGACTCTTCTGACCGTACTGCTCGCACTCTTGCCTCCATGGACAATCTCCATGGGCATCGCATACGGGAATCTAGGCTGTCGCGGGCACCCAGATTCAATCTGCCACTCCTGAGTGCGGTGCTTGTATGCCTACTTGGTGTCCTTTACACTCTCAATGATGCCCAGTGGTACGCACCCGTTGGGCCTCAGGTCATAAGCTGACACCTGCCCCTATCCTTGCAAACGGTCGCTGTTTATGCCCAAGAGAGGAGCCTGGCGTGAGGTCTGATTTTCTAACTGACGACGTCGCCAGGTCCGTTCCCTCTTTGTTACCGCAGAGCATCTCTCTCAACATGGGGTCAGCCAGGAATTCACCGCGGTTCCGCAAGCTCCAGAGCTTCCAGACCGACTATGCCCCAACCACTGTGACTCAGTATGAATCTGAGAGGAGCGGCATGCAGGTCATCGTGGCCGATCGCAAGGGTCCCAAGGTCAACGGCTACTTCACTCTGGCTACTGAGATTTTTGATGACTCGGGAGCTCCTCACACCCTCGAGCATCTGATTTTCATGGGATCGAGAAGCTACCAGTACAAGGGACTGCTCGACAAACTTGCTGGCCGAGCTTACGCAGGCACAAATGCGTGGACCGCTGTCGACCACACCGCCTACACTCTCGAGGCCGCTGGCTGGGACGGCTTCGCCCAAATATTGCCGGTATATCTGGAACATCTCATCTTGCCCACGATTACCGACGAAGCCTGCATTACAGAGGTCCACCATGTGGACGGGGAAGGCAACGATGCCGGCGTTGTCTATTCCGAGATGCAGGCTCTTCAGTATAGCAGTTCCGAGTTGATGGACTTGCGCGCCCGTCGGTTGCTTTATCCCGAGAATGTTGGTTTCAGGTACGAGACTGGCGGCATGATGGAGGCTCTGAGAGTCTTGACACCCGAGCGGATCCGTGAATTCCACAAAGCCATGTACCAACCTCGCAATCTGGCAATTGTGATAGTGGGGGAAGCAGACCATCAGGATCTCTTACAGATCCTGGACCAGTTTGAAGAGAGTGTTCAGGACTCGATTCCTCCCATTGATGCCCCTTTCAAACGGTTAGTCAAGGCGACCTTTGCTTGCATTTGAGACTTGCTGACTGGAGCCCATTGCCATTAGGCCCTGGATTGACTCTGCACAACCGCCAAAGATCGCAAAGACGATCGTCGAGACTGTAGAGTTTCCCGAAGATGACGAGTCCACGGGCGAGATTGTTACCGCGTTCTTTGGTCCAAACTGCACCGACATGATCGCCACGTCTGCCCTAAATGTTCTGCTCACTTATCTGTGCGGATCATCGGTGTCCATCTTGGAGAATGTGATTGTTGAAAGGGAGCAGCTGGCAAGCTCAGTCGGGTACTGGTGGGACAGTCGTCCGAATTCTGTCATCTGGTTCCAGCCAACGGGCGTGGAGACAGAAAAGCTCGCCTTCGTCGAGAAGCGCGTCCATGAGCTTCTGCAGGAGGTTGTTTCTAAACCTCTTGACATGGACTACATGAAGGAGTGTATTGCTCGAGAACTTCGCCAGGTCAAGTACCAGGCCGAGGGCTCTGAGCAGTTCTACTCCAGCAACATCATCACGGATTATCTCTTTGGCAAGCGCGATGGGTCGACTCTTGTGGACCTCAAGAGTATCGACGAGTACGCCACTCTCGAGACATGGTCTGACAGGCAATGGCGAGATTTCCTCAAGCATTGGCTGACTGACGCCAATCACATCTCCATACTAGGAAAGCCTTCCCAGAAGCTTGCTGCTGACCTGAAGACGGCGGAGGAGGCGAGACTCGCCAAGAGAAGGGAGGAACTCGGGCCAGAAGGCCTCAAGAAGCTTCATGAAAAGTTGGAACATGCCAAAGAGAAGAACGACCACAAGATTCCTGATTCCGTCCTCGACCAATGGCAGGTGCCCAGCACTGAATCCATTCACTTTATCGAGTCAAGCACTGCAAGGTCAGGCAAGGCCAAGAAATTGGGTGTCCCCGACAACAGTGCGCAGAAGCGTATCGACGCCGTCGCTCAAGGCCAACCGGTGTTTATCCAGTTCGAGGATGTGCCATCCAATTTTGTGCACATAACCGTCCATATTGGTGTCTCGAAGGCCCCAGTCAAGCTGAAGCCGCTGCTTGCCCTCTTCTCGGACAACTTCTTCAACAGCCCTATTATGCGCGACGGCCAAAGGGTCGACTTTGAAGAGGTTGTCAAGGAACTGGAAAAGGACACTATCAGTTATCAATATGGGTCCGGCTCTAGACTGGGTGATATGGAGAGCATGGCCATCCAGTTCCAGATCGAACCCGAAAAGTATGCAACGATAGTACAGTGGATTCGGACGCTTTTGTTCGACAGCATCTTCGACGTGCAACGCCTCAAGGCTTGCGTGGCCAAGGCACTTGCCGACATCCCCGAGTCGAAGCGCGATGGCCGAATCATGGCGATGGAAGTCGACATGGCGCTGCACATGGCCAAGGAGTCATTCCCCGTTACCAAGAGGACTCTCGTCAAAGCCGTTTACCTGCGCCGTCTGAAGAAGCTCTTGCAGAACGACCCGGACACCGTCATCTCGTGGTTCGAGGAGCTCCGCAAGTCGCTCTTCACCTTCGAGAACATTCGCGTCCTTGTGACCGCCGATGTGGCCAAGCTGGCCGACCCGGTCAAGACGTGGGACATCCTCGCCAAGGACATGGACACCTCGCCCGAGGTCCTCCCCATCGTCAAGCCCGACACCATGCTCAGCGATGAGGGCCGCAAGCCAGGCAGCATCGGCACCACGATCATCCCCATGACCACCCTCGACTCTTCGTACAGCTACTCCTTCGCCTCGGGGCTATCGTCGTATGCCGACCCGCGCCTGCCCGCCTACCTGGTCGCGGTCGGCTACCTCGAGGCCGTCGAGGGCCCACTGTGGACCGCCGTCCGCGGCAACGGCCTGGCCTACGGGGTGTCGTTTGGCCGCGAGGTGGACGGCGGCTACCTCGAGTTCAAGGTCTACCGCTCGCCCGACGCCAGCCGCGCCATCGAGGCGTCGCGCCAGGCCGTCGAGGCGCTGGCCGGCGGCGCGGAGCCCCTGGACCGGCACCTGGTCGAGGGCGCCGTCAGCGGCGTCGTCATGGGCTTCGCCGACGACCAGGCGACCATGGCGGCGGCGGCGCAGCAGAACTACATCCGCGGCGTCGTCCGCGGCCTGCCCGAGGGCTGGGAGAAGGACATGATGCGCAAGGTGCGCGAGGTGACGCCCGACGAGATCCGCGCCGTCATGCGCGACGTGCTGCTGCCCGTCTTCAAGCCCGGCACGAGCAACGTTGTGGTTACGTGCGCGGCGCTCTCGGAGGAGGTAAGTCCCCTTTTCTCTCCCTCTCTCTCTCTCTCTCACACACACACACGTGCACACACACACACACACTCTCTCTCTCTTTCTCTATTTTACAGGTACTATCAAAACAGAGAGATGACTGACCGTCGGGATATGAAACCCCCTCTTTATTAGCCGATGACCAAGGCCTTCCAGAACATGGGGTACAAGGTGCAGACCAAGAAGCTGGCCGATTTCCACGATGACTACGGCCTCAAGGGCGGCGACGACGACGACGACGACGTGGATGGAGCAGACGACGACGACGATGACGAGAGTGACGACATGAGCGAGGAGGAGGATGCGCTGATGGACGGCGCGGACGGTGACTCCGAGTTTGACGACGAGATGGAGGAGTGAGTTGGTAACGCCTATCTTGGGGAGGTTCGACTCGTTCGCTGGATAAGTACATTGCGGCATATACAACGATACTAGGGTAGACTGCAGGCGACAAATGCATAGAACACGGGTCTTATGAAGTGAAGAGCTTGATGGTGATCATGACTGCGAGCCACGACCACACGAGAATCTGTTATATGAGGCAGACACTTATGTTTGATTTGACATATACTGTTCGCCCCTCATCTATCCAAATCCGTGTAAGGACCAAAAAGAGAGACAAATCTGTAGTTAAAAAACTGGTCGTGTCACCGAGAGGTGATGTATAGAACGGCAAATGGTGTCTAACGTCAAGATATTCCCCTTTCTCTTTTTTTACCCCAAAATATTTTTCTCTTTCTTTTTTTCTCTATACCCCCCCAACCAGTCATTATACTCTCTCGAAATCCTGTCAAACGAATTACCCAATCTTTTGACGATATGATAAAAAAAGAAAAAAGCCAATGCAATATAGAAAACTCGTAAAGGCCAGAGAGGACCCCATACTGCGCGCTGAAGCTTTCAGTGCATGCCCAAGAGGAGACGCGCGCCAGCCTCGCTGCAGACGTAGATGACGTCGTGGTTGTCCGAGAAGCCGTTGAAGCGCGTGGCCGAGCACTTGGTGTAGGCGCCCATCTCCTCAAAGTACAGCCAGTCGCCGACGTCGAGCACGTGGCCGAAGCGCGTGCTCTCGGTGATGTGGTCGATGCCGTCGCAGGTGGGGCCCCAGACCGAGTACTCGAGGCTGCCCTCCTGCTCGGCGGGCTGGGGGCCCGCAGACTCGTGGTCAAAGAGGAACTTGTCGCCGCAGCGCAGCACCTTGGCGACGGGGTGCTGGTGGTCAAACATGATGCTGCTAAAGTTGCCGTAGACGCCGTCGTTGAGGTACACCATGTAGCTGGGGTCGACGAGGTCGCCGCTGATGCTGGCCGAGGGGTCGTCGACGGTGCGCCGGGCAATGATGTTGCAGGCGATGGTGAAGGCGTTGGACACGTAGTAGCGGCCGGGCTCGGCCATGATGTTCACGCCGCAGTGCGGCGGGAAGTACTCGTCGAGGGCCGAGTTGAGCACCTCGGCCATGCGCTCGAAGCTGGCATCGGCGCAGAAGCCGCCGCCGACGTCGAGAGTCGTGAGGTCGTAGCCATAGGCCTCGGCGCGCTGGAAGACGTAGCGGGCGTCGCGCACGGCCTTCATGAAGGCCAAGGGGTCCGAGGCGCCCGAGCCGACGTGGAAGCTGACACCGACGACGTTGAGTCCGAGCTCGCGGGCCGTAGCCAGCAGGTTGTCGGTGGTGTCGAGCGGGGCGCCGAACTTGAGGCTGAAGCGGCACAGAGAGGCGCTGTCGTCGGTGATGATGCGCAGGAAGAGCTCAGCGTCCGGGTACAGCTTGGCAATCTTCTGGAGCTCGTCGGCGTTGTCAAAGGTCATCTGGCGGACGTTGCGGGTGCTCACGTAGCGCACGTACGAGTTGGTCTTGCACGGCTGGGCGTAGATGATGCGCGAGGGGTCCACGCCCATGCCCAGGATCTGGTCGATCTCGGCCTTGGATGCGCAGTCGAAGCCAGTGCCAAGCTCGGAGAGGAGCCTGAGGACCTGGGGGTCAGGGTTGCACTTGACGGCTATTGAAGGGAAAATTGAGTCAGCATGTCATGTCCGGCTCGTCATAACCAATGTTGGGGAGCGATGACAAGACTCACCATAAAAGGGCCGGACGCGAGGCAGGTTCAACTTCCAGCGCATGTGCTGGCGGTATACCTCGCCGAGATCGGCGACGAAGAAGGTGTCTTCGTCGCCCGGCTCACAAAACTCATGGTCGATGTTCTCCACGCGGTGGCGGAGGGCCTCGCCAATCATCTGCTTCGGGGTTTGTTCGCCATGTTGGTGGTCCAAGAAGAGATTCTTCTTTAAGAACACATGGTTATTGAATGGTACCGGAGCAATGCGATCGAGCACAGCTGTTGCCATAACCATATCCCAAACGACGGAAGGCGAATGCGAAAGCGGTTGGTGTTGATGAGCGGTGAGAGAAAGAGGAATATTACCAGGCGTAGGTCTGGTAGTAGAAGACTTTGGTGCTTTCTTTTTGCAGATGGGTGCTAAGGGGGTCGAAATCGGTAACAGACTGATCCCGAAGCGGTCTGACGAGGCCTCCTCGACTCTTCCTCCGTTAGAGGAAGAACCTCAGAACTCGTCCTATGCGGCAGCTGGGTGGGTGGGGAGAACTTTGGGGGCTGGTTGTAGGACGCGTCGAACAACGGAAGACGTTCGAGCTTCTTAGGCGAGTTCAGAAGCAGCAGGAGGTGGACGAGAGTTGATGATATGGAAGGTCTTTCGCTCGCTGAAATCTTGATCGGAGACGAAGAACACGGCCGAGGAAGCCGTGGTTGGGTTGTTTGCCTTTGAGGAGACCAAAGGCAGTCGAATTTGTAGTCTGTCACAACACGACTAGTTGGACATGCGAGATTTTTTGGCTGTTGCTAGAGTATTGCGGTCAGCGGTGGTGTTCTCTTTTCCCACTTTCAAAAAGAGCTCAGAGCTCTGGCTGGAGGCCTCGAGACTAGGACAAGACACGCCGCCCAAGAGACTACAGTCGAGAGAGTAGGGAAGACGAAATGGCGCGGATCGTCTTGATTGCGGTGGAGGTTGAAGAGGGGAAGAGACTCGTGTCGTGAGGAGAGAGGGGGTTGTTCTTTCGTTTTCTGGGCAGCATGTGATGGTGGGAGGACGTGCGTGGGCGATGCAAAAAGTGGCGATCCGGAGCCGAGACTTACCGATTGCAAAGTTTGAGTCACTCGGGGTGGTGAGAAGAGAGGAGTTGCAGCCGGACAACGAGGAACGGCAGTTGTTGCGGATGAGGGATATTGTCGATGTAGAAGACAACACGGAGGTTTGGTAGTGAGAAGAGAGAAGAATGTGTGTGAGATTGGGAAGGGGGGAGGATGATTTTGCTCTCGTGTGTTGTGGTTGTGGTTGCGGTTGTGAGTGAGCAGGGGAACTTTCCAGTCTGCGCGTGCTGCTTTGGTGGGGTTGGCGAGGGTTGGCGAGGGTTGGCTGGGCCTAAGATGGATTTTCTTGCTGTGCCCACATCCACACATCTCCCTCCCTCACTCCCTCTCTCAAGGACACACCGACAAAATATGGAGCAGACGAGGTCGGCAGCGGGGCATCGACGATTGTGAGAGTCCCATAGCATAGCCCAGAGTAAAAAAATTTGAACCAAGGCACCGAAACCTTACTGGGAGCTTCTCCCATTAGCCCACGCGTGCGTGGATCCCTGACCCAGACTTTTTCCAGTCCAGATTTGGTATCCTCCTCCTCTGATTAGCGGCCTTTTTAAAAGTGGGCAGACTTGGACTCGTCGACGGGAGGATCGACCGACTGTTTGAATCGGGCAAATTCGAGAGAGACCAGACGTCACTCAACTGCGGCTCGATCAAGTGATATCGGCTCGAAGTCCTCCAGTGCAATGCCACGCCTCCCGGACCCGAGAGACCGTCGACAGAGGCGTCTCTCCATGTCCTCGAGACAAGATGACTTGACTCCTCTTTCGAGTCCTCGCTTGGTACCGTGCCTGTCGGTATCGGAGAAGATAGGGAGATGGATGGTGGAGTAGGGAGGGAGGTGCTATGTGCTCTGCTCTCCCCCTCCTCTTCACTCTTCTTCTTCCTCCTCCACCACCTCCACCATGGCAGCTCCAGAGTGACACGGCAGCATGGTCATCTTCATCTAGTAAGCGACGTCGCGGGCCACGTCCCGCTTCCGCTTCAGCACAAGGCACTTGCTTGCGTGCTGGCCTGCCTGTCGAATCGGCAGCAACTGGCGCGGATGATAGCTCCTGCACTAGCGGCCAGTCGAAGGGCTTGCCGTAGACCGCGTCCACATGCAGCTCGTGCAGACCGCAATTTTGTTCGTCACGCTTGCGACTGCTTATTCGCTCACGAGATATGTCGTTTGAGTTTCCAGGTGCTCCGGGCGGCCTCTGCCGGACGTTGCTGCAGGTGACACATGCTTCGCTGGAAGAGACTGGCCAGGGGCAGTAAAGTAAATTCGCGCATACCAGATGCTTCTATCATTACCCGGCTGTTTACCCTCTGCTTGCGGGTTGCCGTTTTCGAAAGATAGGCACAGCGAAACGTTCCCTCGGGCACGGGGTCCCGTGAGGAGAGGAGCACACAAGTTGACACTGCACACTGGCCGAGGCGCATCACGCGATTGTGCTGCCTGCCGGCGAGAAGACCTGATATCTCCCTTGCAACCCACCCACCTGAGGTACCTACCGACCTACCCAGCAGGTATGGGCAAAATTGACCAGATCCAATCATTCAACTTGATGAATGTTGCCCGGCTTCTGTCAGAGAAGCTTCGCCACATGGCAGTTGGAAAGTTCTTTTTTTGCCCCTGGCAATGCTGCAGGGGACGGAGTGACCGTATTGGGCGCCACTGGCTACCCACTGCAAAACATATCTGCAATGTTTGGCTGATTTTCGCCATCCATGTCTCAAAAAGTGTGAGCCGCATTCTTCTTCGTCTGGCGGTGACGTAGGCGGGGTGGAAAAGGGGAATAGCGCTGAGGATCAGATTGAATTTTGGGGAAATGCGAGGCTAGCAGCCTTGGCTTGCCGTGCCTGTTCCTGGCTTCCGCCATCCGCCATGGGGGGCTACCCATCCTCAGCCAACAAAAATCCGATATCTTGAAAAGCATGTACTCTGTTCTTTAGTCCGGAGTTCCAAAGCTGAGGAGCCCGGTTCTGAAAGAACGAGCGCAGAGTTCCGGTGACGGCCCTTCTTGCATGGTCCTTATTCTCGCGCCTTCTAGTGGTCTTCGTAGCCATGAGATCAAGGATCGGCATACGAGACGTATCGTATCTGAGCGCTTTTTGGGAGATGCTAACCCCGTGAAAGAGAGGGGATGTCACTAAGAAAGAAGATTAAGGAGAAACAAGGACGCAAGGAATAAGAGAAAAAAATCCCGCACAGGAGCAAACGAAGAAAACCTAGTGTATAGTCTATTGATGTTTCTAAACCGCAGGCTATGCGATCGAGTGACAATGAGTATGCTGAGAGAAGGGTATCATCATCGTTGTTGTACAGTTGTATTGGTACACCGGCACCATGTCGTTGGTCGTTATCCTCGGCTTACTCGGTGCCATTGACGTGCATCTCGTTGACCTTCCATGAAGAGTCGACCCAATCTTGCTTTTCACCCAGGAAGACGGTTCTTTCTGCGCCCTTGGCCAACGCATCCACAATGTACTTCTGAGCGACTTCGCGCACTTGGTCCTTGGTAACGTCCAAGAGCTGTTCCCTGCGTCGCTGCTTCATCCCGTTGGTGACACCAAAGAGGAACTTGCCCATGCCCTCCTCGTTGACTGACTGAGGAGCGTCGACACTCTGGAAAACCGAGATCTTGGCATCCTCGAGGTCGCGGTCGCTCCACTTCTTGTCCACCGCCCACTGGCCGGCACTGCGCATGATGTTCACAGTATTGAGTGGATTCGGATCACGGTACGAGTAGAATCCAAAGACACCATCGAGAGCTCGCGAGTAGGCCCCGCCACCATAGGCACCTCCCTTCTCTCGTATCTCGTGGTGCAAATGCTTGTGCGTCAGCAGCTGCGCCAGGATCTGGAGAGGGGCGCCATCGGCAGATGTGTACGAGACTGTCGGCAGCGCAAGCGCTCCGTAATAGACTTGGTAAGGGAGGGGATAGAACGCCTTGATGTCGCGCGCGAATCTCGGCGACTGCTTGCCAGGGAGCGCAGCGCTGGAACGAGGGAGGGAGCCCATAAACTTGGTCAAGGCTGAGGCATTTTCTTGCACCGTCTCGGTGCCGCAGGTGATGGCGGTGCGAACACGTCCGCCGCTGAACGCGAACTGCTGGATCTGCTTCAGCTTCGAGATCACGTCGTCGAGCTGATCCGCTTCCCCGCGCTTTGCCAGGGAGGTGACAAGCTTGACTTGAGACAGTCCGCTGACCTGTTCCTTGTGATACGCGTCGACACTCAGGCCGGCTTCGGCGGCACGACGGGCAAAAGCATGGCCCGACGAGGCAATATCGTTGACGACTCCGTCCGCGGAAGCCTGTAGGAGCTGGCGGATCTGTTGCACAGCCTCTGCACTATCGAAATTGGTTTCGGCCACTACCCGTCTGAGTAGGTCAAACATGACTGGAACGTTGCGGTCAAGCGCCATTCCTGTGAAGATCAACCCCTCGCTAGACTGAGTGTAGTCTTCCGGATGCGAAGCAGAATGATACCCGACAGATATGCCTCCCGTCTTGAGTTTGATCAGATCCTCCAGTTCTTCCATGGACATGTCTTTCGTGCCCAAGCGCATGATGGCGTCGGTAAAGAGAGGGATCAAACTCCTGAGATCATCTGGCAAGCCGTCCAAGGTGTTGATGGCACGGAAATAAGTCAGGCCGTTGGTGGGTGCTTCCCGCCACTGAATCTTGATACCCTGTGAAGTCTCATCTCTCACCACAGCGGGCTCTTTCTGGCGAGGAATGTCACTGACGTGAACGCTTGGCAGACAGCTCAGGTCCTCGGTATTTGACTTGCCCTGCTCGACGAGCAACTTGAGCTCCCTCTCTTCCAAACGCTTCTGCGCCTCGAGCTCGCTGCCAGCTTGCTTCGTAGCTTCGGCAATCTTGGACGCGAGGCGAGCTTCCTCCTCCTGCATAAGCTCTTGAGAGTAGGTGGGTGAGGGGGCCATTGTGAACGATAAGGTGTTGTCGTTGAGTAAATACTTGTCGATGAGACCTTCCAGATATCCACCCTTGGCCAACTCGCGTTCGAACGCTGTCACGGTATCGTTCCAGGCAAGAGAGTCAAAGGGGTCGACACCCGTGAACCACTTGGGCTTGAGCCTCTGCAAGAGCGACATGCCAAAGTTGGCCGTCTTGTGCTTGAGTCCCAGTTCCAATTGATGAAGATATCCATCAATCTTGGATCTGTCGAAGCCCTTCTCCCGGACCTCCCGAAGGATGCGCTGGACTTCGGTCTTGACATTGCCAACATCTGCCTCTTGCACTCCGGTTAAACCGACGGAAAAGATGCCGACCTTTCCGGAGCTATCATAGCCAGTGTTGGGACTCCAGTCGATGCCCAGACCAGACTCAATGAGCCCTCTGTACAGGGGCGAGCCGTATCCATCCATGAGGAGCGTCGAGATGACGGCAAGTGAAAAGGACTCGACGATGTTGCTTGTATCTCCCAGAACCCAGGAGACAGAAGATTTGTACTGTCGGTCGGCATCCACCAACGGGTCGATAGGTCCCTGGAGTGTCACTTCACGGGGGCCAGAGCTGAGGTCGATGGGTCGGTGAATCTTGAGGTCGCCCCGGATCTTCTCGAACACATTCAAGCGAGCATCAATCTCCTGCAGATGATCTGCGAGGGGCATGTCGCCGTACGTGAAGACTTTTGCGTTGCTTGGATGGTAGTGCTCGGCATGGAAGTTGCGTAGTTGCTCATAGGTCAGGTCGGTGATCTTCTGGGGATCACCACCCGAATTGTTGATGTCTGGGAAGATGTGATCCTGAAAGCGGATATAGAAGAGATACCCAGCATCCGACATCTGCCCCTTCATCTCGTTGTAGACGACTCCTTTGAAAACGAGCTTGCTGTCTTCGGGCTTGGCGCCTTCGCCGCTGGCAAGAGCCTGCGGGTTCTCCGGACCAACTCTCCAGCCTTCCTGCGTGAAATCCGTCTCCTTGAGAAGCGGGTGCAGAGTCGCGTCGATGTAGACGGACATGAGGTTCTTGAAATCCTGCGCGTTCGTGGTCGCAAACGGATAAAAGGTGTGGTCGGAAGCAGTGAAGGCGTTCATGAAGTTGGATAGCGTGCGAGGCAGCATCTTGAAGAAAGGGTCTCGGATGGGATACCTGGGGCAGCTGTTAGCAAGGGGCTGTATAAAGCCGTACGACTTTGGACGGATGCCACCGACTTCTCGCTTCCACAGAGCGTGGTGTGCTCGAGGATGTGAGGAACACCCGTATCATCTGGAGGATTCGTCTTGAAGCCAATCGAGAAGACATTATTGCTGTCGTCGCGGGCGATGTGCAGATGTTCGGCGCCAGTCTTGTCATGTTGCAGGTGGAGGGCTGCCAGGTCGAGCTCGGGGACCGGCTTGGTGCGCAGGACTGTGAAGCCGTGGAGTTTGTCGCCGGGTTTGGGAAGCTGCGACAGCTCCGTGACAGCCCTGCGAGCCGCGCCTTTGGCTGCGTTGCGCAACATGGCTCCTTCCTGGAAATATCACCAGATCAGTGTACCTGGGTTGTGTTGCCGCCCAACTCCTGCAGCCGATCCGGATCCCGATGGCCTCGTGGAGTCGCAATACCGTCTCTCCAGAGGGCAAGAGATGAGTGGAAGCGAACGGTTCTTGAATGCTAGATGGAGGCAAATGGCCCTCTGAGATGAAAATAGTTATGTCCGGTGCCAGTATGTACAGTCATCTCTCTAGAGTAGCATGTGGAACCCTGGTAGTCGAGATGGGTGGACCCCATGGTGGAAACTGACCGGAAGAAAATTTGACGTGTGGTAGCTGAAGCGGTTTGTTCCCAAACTAATCAAATCAATCTGGAAATCATACCTAGGTAGCCTTCACAGTTGACAGTGCACTATTTGCAAACGAACCTTAGTCGAGTTGCTCTTCAGGCTAGCGTGGACAGTTTGGACTGCCTCAGGACGCTGAGGGACGACCTGATCCATCCGTTTAATGCATTCGAGGGTCATGCGCAGCTGGCCCAACCTTGAACCCTCTCCGGGCTGGAAGGTGCCTGCTGAAGCCTCGTTCTGCCAGGGTGCTCAGCAGGGACTCGAGGCGAACAAACGGGTATAATGCTAACGGGGAAATGATGATGCCCACCAATCCTCCGCTTCATCCAATGCTGCTAGGTAGGTAGGTACCTATAGTAAGTACTGTACTTGAACCTTGAGGACAGGACAATCGAGAGCGACTCCAATGCCGCTGGATCTCGGTTCAGGATTTAGTCGAGAATTGATACCAAAATACTCAGTCAACATTAGATTCATCACTTTTAGTAAAGGACTTGTACTCACATCTGGTCTCTCGTTCTTTACAAATACCTTAGAGAGAGTACTGTATCTTCGCTCCATGGTCTACGCTCAATGTTCTTCGCCCGGCGAACTGGCGTCCGTGCTTCTCCACTAAGGCCGCTAGCTGCTGCAGCGATTTGCAACCTCTTGTCGACCATTCTCCTCCAACCAGATTGCATCAAACCTTGTCACCTTGACGACTCTCCGACGCTCTGCCTCGAGTCCCCCCAATCGACCGTCTACGGAATCCCCATTTCTGGCTTTTGACGGATGCGACGGAGCCCATGACATTACGAGCGTGCGACTCCATCATCTCGACCAAGCGCTAAAGTCTGCCGACGGGCCTCAGCGCTGCCGGGAAAATGTCGACAGCAAACGCCCCCGTGACTCCTGTGACCAACGGCGCCGTACCAGCTCTCGCTGGAAACCATGCAAACCATGCTCACGATGCGTCCGCGTCCGCAAGTGCCCACCATGCCTCCCACGCCCACGACACCCGACCGGCCCCGGCGCCGCCCGCAGCCGCCGTGGCCAAGCGGAACAAGCAGAAGAAGGCGCTGGACTCTAACGAAGCCTCCAAGTTGGTGGCTCAGAGAATATCCCAGCTGGAGCTCGATGCTGCTGGAGAGAAGGATCAGGAAGCCGAAATAGGTGCGTCTTTGTCCGGCGTAACCGTCTGTGTGTGCGAGCATAATGAATGGAGGCGGCGATTGAAGGCGACTCGACTTCGCATGCGCACATAGGTCTCCCCAGCCTCGGCGCCGAGCTTCGTGCCAGTACTCCTCCTGTACTCTGCTCTCCATCAGAGGGGTAGCTTTGGGGGCTATGTGTTGCACAAATGGCTAACTATCGCCCGCAATGTAGAGCGAGAGGTCAAGAAGGCGAATCGCGAGCTGAACCACCAGACGGCCAAAATGGACAACTTGCAAAAGATTGATCATCTTTCCAAGCGCTGCTCCGACTTGCTAGCGGAAATGAAACGACACGAGCGCGAGAGCTTGAAGCACAAGCGGCGTGGCGATCAACTTCAAAAGGAGAAGGATCAGAGCCGGTCCGAGCTGAGCAAAACGGTCGGCCTTAAGGAGAAGCTCGAGAAGCTCTGCCGTGAACTTCAAAAGGAGAACAACAAGCTCAAGGTAGGACGGCACTCGAGGTGACACTTCCTCTTCACTGGCTGACCTGTTTGCCTTGTAGAATGAAAACAAGACTCTGCGCGACAACCAAGTACGGAACCAAAACTCGTGGGATGAGAAATATGCCACCTTGTTACAAAAGCTCGACGACTGCCAAGAAGAGAAAGACAACCCGCGAAAGCAGGTTGTGAATATGGAGGTCGACGAACTGTGGGTTCCCATCTGCCAGAATGTGTCGCGAGGTTCACGGCTGACATATCCTTTAGCTTCCGTGCGCGGTTCAAGTCTTTCATCGAGCAATACGAGCTCCGGGAGCTTCACTTCCATTCGCTGATGCGGACGAAGGAGCTGGAGGTGCAGCACAACCTGGCGCGGTTCGAGCGCGAGAAGAAAAAGGCCGACACCGAGATTGCTCGCTCACGGCAGCTCAACGAGCAAGTGCAGACCTTTTCCAAGACCGAGACTGAACTGCGGAACCAGCTCAATGTCTACGTCGATAAATTCAAGCAGGTTTGTAGCCTTGATCTTGTTCTTGTCTTCAAGTGTTGGTTGCCATGGCTGACCGAGTACAGGTGGAGGACACGTTGAACAATAGCAATGATCTGTTTCTTACCTTCCGGAAGGAGATGGAGGACATGTCTAAGAAGACCAAGAGGTTGGAGAAGGAAAACGACGGCCTCAAGAGGAAGCATGAAGCCATGAACCAGAACATCCTGAGGATGGCCGAAGAGCGGACCAAGAACCTGAAGGAAATCGACGACCACAAGAAGAAGGAGGACAAGCTGAAGAGCATCATCACGCAGATGCAGCAGCAGGGGCGGGGCATTGCCCAAGGCATGACGGGCACGGTGGAGAGCGTTTATGCAGACGGCGAGGGCGAGGTGGAGGGTGAAGAGAGCGAGTATGATTATGAGGACGAGGAGGACCTCAGCGACCAAGGAGTGGAAGACGAGGGCGACTACGACGACGATCTTACGGAAGAGGAGGCCCAACCTGAACCTCACCCACAACCCTTTGGTCCAGAGCGCCCGCCGGCGGTGACGACGAACGGTCACTAGCGACGGAGCATTTCCTGCGCAGGTCTTTGCTAGTCTCGAGGCGAGGCATCCTGACAATATGTGTTGACCAAGAGCGGGCCGATCGAGGAAGAGGTTGTGGGGAAGTTCTTCCGAGACGGGTAGCGTTCTTTTTGTATTTTTCCAGCACATATTCTGTGATACACCTGTACGAAGCAATTGAAGTTCGTCCAACTCTGTAACCCGACGAGGCCCTCCGGGTGCTTGATCTTGCCAGAGAGCTATGTGTGACGCCACACGGGAAGGGTACGAGTGCCTGCCTGCGCAAAGCCAGTATCGTACTGCGCCAAATCGCAGAATGCGGCGGTTATGTCGAACAATCCTTCCATCGAAGCTATTCGGTCGTGCTTGGCTGGTGTTCAACCATATTCAACTTGACGGACTGTCCCCATCTCTGGGTGCGTACACCAGACTACGACTAGGCTCACGTACAATGAGGTCATTGCCGTTTTAGGGCATTTCGCAGTCGGACTTTAGGGGACCATGGTGCTCTCAGCCGTCCATCCATGGATCCCCGCACCAGCTGGAGCAGCCAGCCAGCCACCGTGACCCCCAGATTGGCAATTCCAGTTGATAAGATAGGCTGGAAAGAGACCTGGAGCAACCAAACATTGAACCATAGAAACCACCTTCGGGGATTTGACGGACTGACCTGCATAAGCACCAGCCTTTTGACACTCTAAACCTTCGATGTCCACGCAACCAAACCCGGAACTCTAATCATACAGCACCAACGTTGCTGATTCCATGTTCTGCACAGACGCGAAGGTTTTTGCGACGCGAATATAAAAATCACCTCTCGCCATCCCGCAATCATCCCCCCCCCCCCCGAGACTCTGCTCAATGCACTGGCTCAGGCCCATAGCCACGAGGACACCTGGTGAAGCCCACCGACCAGGCTACGTCGCATAGCCTCTCCTCTTCAACACCCGACTGACCTCCCGCACGTCCGGCGGAAAGCAAAGACTCAATAAAGATCTCTGCCACCCAAGCTAGCAAGCAAGCGACGACGCCAGCCCAGCAAAAGCCGCCAGCCCGCCATGGCCTTCCTCGAGGACCCGCGGCTGCGCCAGCGCTGGAACCAGATCTCCCACAACGCCGAGGCCGTGACCGAGAACGCCGCGGCGGGGATATGGACCTTTCAGAACCAGTACATCGGGCCCTGCCTCGCGTCCATCGCCCAGTCGATTGACTCGTGCACGGGCGTGTGCTTTGGCGACCGCGAGGAGCGCGCGCGCCGGGCCCGGGAGCGGGAGCGCGGCGCGAGGGGCAGCCGCGCCGAGTTCAGCTTCGACTTCTACGACGACTGGGACGACGACGACGCGGCGCTGGCCGATACCTTTGGCGGCGGCAGCGGCGGCGGCCACGGCCTGCTCGGCAGCTGGGGCGGGGGCCGCAGCGAAGACTGGGACAGGCTGCTGGCGGGCACGGGCTCGCGGGGCCGGCACACGATCGGCGCGTCGGCGGGCGATGTCGTCGACCAGCCGAGGAGGAAGAGGGGCATGAGCTACGGCACGCGGGGCAGCAGGAGGAAATCCGTTGAGCACGACCCGACCATCATCCCCAGCACGGCGCCGCTGGGGTTCTTGAGCAAACTGCCGTTCAAGATTGGCGGCACGCTACGATACAAGCCCAGCGCGGCGAACCTCAAGGACCACCCCAGTGGTCCGACGCACCCTACGGATGAACACGAGCCGCTGCTGGCCACTGATGATGAGGATTACACGCACAACCTGATAGAACCGCAGAGGAGGAAGCGCAGCGGCACGACGGGCTCTGGAGACACGTCCGACTCATACCGGTCGAGAGGCGATCTCTTCCCAAGCGACGGAGAGGGCGACGAGGACGCAGTGCCCATAGATGACGAGTTTGCCGTGGCATTGGACCGGGTCGACGATCGGAGCAGCGGCAAGACGCGGCTCAGCAAGGGCAAGCGAAGGGAGAGCTACAGGACCATGTCCAGAAGCGCGTCGGGCACGACCATCATGTCGCAGCGCTCCAATGGATCCCTCATAAAGCACCCGAGCACCACCTCTCTGCCCGTAGAGGAGGAGGCGGCCGAGGATGCTGACCAGTCGCTCCAGGACCTGCGGCGCGAGGAGGAGCGCGTGCAGAGGGAGGAGGACGGCGAGATCGAGCGGAAGCGCTTGGCTGCGGCAGAGCTCGCGCGCCGGCGTGGCCTCAGCACAGGCAACCTCAAGGGCACTGCTGGCGAGGTAACGACCCGGGTTCCTGAGGTTGCGGTTGACGAGGATGTTCCGGAGCAGGCTGCGCTTGGAGCGACCGACACCAGAGAGAACATGGGTGAAGCTGAGAATTCGACGAGCGAAGTTCCGCAACGGGGAGACCAGGCTGAAAGCCAGGAAGAAGAGACCGAAGAGGGTTTCGTGCCGGCTCGATTGCCGTACTTCAGATAGAGATCCATCCACCCTTTTTGGGCAAAGGCCAGTAACACAGGAACTGGTGTGGCTTCCCAAAATCATTCTGCTAGACTTGGGGGTGCAAGTGGGTTTAAAGTGTAAGTAAGCAAGGACACTGACAGTGTCCGGGAGGGAACGTGTCTTTTCATGACTAGATGATATCCAGCTTTGCGAGCTATGTTATGACGAGCTGTATGATTATAATATACTACTTCTGAGGCTTGGTGTCTGAGCCTGGCGTCACAACAGTTCCATAGCTCGAGTAAAGTGAACACAGCGCATGGATGCCTAGGTGCAAACGAAAGATGCGAACAACATATCGATAAATGTGGTCAGTTTGATCTCTGAGCCCCTTGTAAATGTGATAAGATCTCCAGCCCCTAGAATGTGATTTCTACCGTGAATAGTGGCTCTCCTCGTGGCATGGATGCTCTGTTCTGCGGATCTGTCAGATCAAGCCTGTCGAGATGCCGAGGCATCTCGCCCCCGCATTGCCATCCCCCACACAAGCCGACCCCCAAGGTCTCTTCAACTCATTTCCCCAGATTTACTCATGGCTCATCTTTCTCAGCCTGTATATTAATGCATTCGGCAATCTGCTTTATTTGACTATATACAGCCTTGCTATTGTCTTTTTGAGCAGTACCACATTCTCAGACTCTCTAGTCAAGTATTCGTTTCATGAACCCGTTGAGTGAGTGAGCCGCCGCAGTTGAACGACGGCACCCGGTTCTCACACCATAACCATCACATCTCATTGTATCCTTTCCCGAGAATTCGCTCCGAGATAAAAAGATACAAAGATGGCGCCCCAGGGCCCCATTACCACACCGCTCACGACCCTGCTGGGGATCAAGCACCCCATCATCCTCGCGGGCATGGCGCGCACCTCGGGGGGCCACCTCGCGGCCGCCGTCTCCAACGCGGGCGGGCTGGGCGTCATCGGCGGCTTCATGTACACGCCGGACCAGCTGCGCGACATCATCAAGGACCTCAAGGACAACCTGGCGTCGCCGGACCTGCCGTTCGGCGTGGACCTGGCGCTGCCGCAGGTCGGCGGCGGCGCGCGGGCGACCAACCACGACTACACGGGCGGCAAGCTCGACGAGCTCGTCGACATCACCATCGAGTCGGGCGCGCGGCTGTTCGTGTCGGCCGTCGGCGTGCCGCCCCGGCGCGTCATCGAGCGGCTGCACGCGGCGGGCATCCTCGTCATGAACATGGTGGGCCACCCGCGGCACGCGGCCAAGGCGCTGGACCTGGGCGTCGACATGGTCTGCGCGCAGGGCGGCGAGGGCGGCGGCCACACGGGCGACATCGCGGGCACGGTGCTGATCCCCGCCGTGGCCGACGTGGCGGCGCGGTACCGCCCGCCCATGCTCGGGGGCTCGCCGGCGCTGGTCGTCGCGGCGGGCGGCATCGCCGACGGGCGCGGGCTGGCGGCGGGCCTGATGCAGGGCGCCGCGGGCGTGTGGGTCGGCACGCGGTTCGTGGCCAGCGCCGAGGCCAACTGCAGCCAGGAGCAAAAGGACGCCGTCGTGAGCTGCGGGTTCGACGGCACGGAGCGCACGCTCGTGCTGTCGGGCCGGCCCCTGCGCATGAAGACCAACGACTACATCCGCCGGTGGCACGAGAAGCCCGACAAGATCAGGGAGCTCTGCGACAAAGGGATCACGCCGATCGACTGGGACATGGACGAGGGCAACGACATCGACTTCCCGCACCTCATGGGCCAGGTCGCCGGCGCGATCCGCAAGGTGCAGCCGGCCGGGGAGATCGTGGACGAGATGGTGGCGCAGGCGGTGGAGATGCTGAGGAGGGGAGGGGCTTATCTGAACGGGGGCGGTGACCGGAGTCGGCTGTAGATTTATGGAGCTGGGTGGTATGTATGGGTGGTATACAAAGTGATGTTCAAAAAAAAGGCTGTAAATATAGAAGAACATGAGGTCTTTTCTTTGCTATCGGCATTGAGCCGGCGCACTTCCGGCCCGGGACCCGGAGCCGGCACCGGAGGACGCCCCACCTCGCATCTTTCCGTGGGTGCTTTTTTTTTTATGTACGGCTAATGGTATATATTGTCAGATATGCATGTTCTCCTGCATACGACCTTCAGAACTAAGCACGATAAGCATATCACGTAATATGGTCTGGTCTCGTTTACAGGGTGCCCGCCGCGCTGTCCTGCCTCTTCCGGGCACTGACAGCAGGCGCGATTGGTCGGAGCTCTCGTTGAAAAGGTGTGGGGGCGGGGCTGCTGCCTTCACTTCAAGCTCCAAAGAGCTCAAAGCTTCACACTCAAGCTCCCGTATCCGCCGTTCGTGAGATCAGCTCACAAATACCCAGAATGTCCAGCACAGCATCAGAGCCGGAGGATGCCATCACCGAAGAAGAAATCAGGGGCGCTGCTGTGCCAGCTGCATCCGAGTCCAAGGCTGCATCGTCTCAAAAGCCCCGCAATGCATGTAAGGACATACAGCACTCTCTCTCTCTCTCTTGCATTGATGAACTCACTCAACTCCCATGCCCTCATCTCACTCCCGACCCCCGAATACACAATGGCCACCCCAGTACTCTCACCATTATATCATCACTTCCAAGCTAACATGAACCCTCCGCGACACACAAAAGTCGCCGAGCTGATGGCCCCCAAGCCCCGGCACGCACCACCACCACCATCATCAGTCGCCAACAAACCTCACACCACCGCCACCACCACCTCGTCCTTCGCCGGCCGCGACGGGCTGGGCGCCTACATCGCCGACCCGGCCTCCTTCCCGGCCTCGCGCGTGATCTACCACAGCGAGTCCTTCGTCGCCATCCACGACCTCTACCCCAAGGCCTCGGTCCACGCGCTGCTCCTGCCCCGCTCCCCGGCCCTCGGCGCCCAGCACCCCTTGGACGCGCTCTCCGCCCCGGACGGCGCCTTCCTCGCCGCCGTGCGCGCCGAGCTCCCGCGGCTGGTGGCCCTCGTCGCCGCCGAGCTCCAGCGGCGCTTCGGCCGGTACAGCCGGCAGGACGCGGCCCGCGAGGCCGTCCTGTCGGGCGAGGCCGAGGCCGAGGCCGGTGGCGACGGAGGTGGAGGGGAGCTGCCGCCCGGCAGGGACTGGGCGGCCGAGGTGCGCGTCGGCGTGCACGCGCACCCGAGCATGAGCCACCTGCACGTGCACGTCTTGTCGCGCGACATGCACAGCCCGTGCCTCAAGCACCGCAAGCACTACAACTCGTTCAACACGCCCTTCCTCGTCGACGTCGCCGACTTCCCGCTCGCCGCCGACGACCCCCGGCGGCACCCGGGCCGGGAGGGCTACCTCCAGTCGGACTTTCGGTGCTGGCGGTGCGGCAGGACCTTTGGGAACCGGTTCAAGGCGCTCAAGGAGCACCTGGAGGTGGAGTTTGAGGAGTGGAAGAGGGAGTGAGGGAAGAGGAAGTAAACCCGGGAGGGATGTCAGAGTGAGTGGAGCGACACCTAACAAAATCAGTGTATAATACATGTGTTGAGCTGTGCCATATATCCGTGTCGTCGAAGACAGACACAGCTATCAAAGTGAAGGTCCGAAAAGAGCTGTGTTCATCAGCGAGTAGAATAACAAGAAGAAATCCCTTGTCAGATGGAGATGACCATTATGGCTTCCATTGCCTGTGACATACTTTTACAAGATCGAAAGAAAAAAAAAAGACAAGTCTCAAAACGCCGCATTGTAATCCGTCGAGAAATTCCAGGCAAGTACTGCCGCCGAGGCCGAGGGCATTATGCCATGCCATGCCAGCCGAGTCAGATCCCAAATTCCCTAGCACAAGCATATCACCCTATGTCCACTCCTTTCCTTCCTACCTAGGCAAGATATCCCTTAATCCTCGTCCTCATCCTCATCCTCATCCTCGTCGTCGTCCTCACCCTTGGCATCCTCATCATCTTCCTCCTCGGCATCCTCCTCCTCCTTCTCTTCTTCATCATCATCCTCCTCATCCTCCTCCTCCTCCTCCTCGACAGCCTTCACCTCCTCAGCAGCTGCGGCCTTGGGAGGCCGTCCGCGACCCCTGCCGGTAGTAGTAGCACCCTTGGCAGCGGCCTTGGAGCCGGCGGCCTTGGCAGCAGCAGCAGCGGCGCCGCGGCCCTTCTTGGGGGGCCGGCCGGGCCCGCCGCGCGGGCGGCCCGTGGGGACGTAGGGCTTGGTCTTGCGCTGCGAAGGGTCCATGGGCGGGCGGCCGCGCGGGCGGCCCGTCGGCACGTAGGGCTTGGTCTTGCGCAGCGAAGGGTCCATGGGGGGCCGGCCGCGGCCGCGCTTGGTGACCTTGGCCTCGGCCTCCTTGGCCGGCTTGGTGTCGGGCACGGCGGCGGCGGCGGCGGCCTTGTCCTCGGCCTTGGCCGCGGTCGAGCGGCGGGGCGCCATCTCTCTTCTTCTCGTTCTGCTTCTTCTGGTAGTAGCGGGAGCGGGAGCGGTAGTGACGTTGCCTTGCGGCGACGACGACGCGTGCGGTGGTCTAGCTCTGCTGGCGACGCGACGGCTGCGGGTGGTTGCCGCGGTGGCGGTGATGCTGCTGCTATCGCCGTGCTGCTGCTCCTGCCTTGCTGTCTCTCGTGGAGTTTTCTGCTTGTTGGTGCTGCTACTACTACTACTCTTGTCGCCAGAGGGAGAAGTCGCTGCAGGTCGGGAGGAAGGAGAGGAGAAGAAGGATGAGAACTTCTGAAGATAATCCAGCGTTGATGATAGTCTTTTTTTGCGACAATGGGCGAATAAATTCCCACCCCGGTCCCCTTCAATTAAATATGATTCAACTCAATCCAATCCAATGAATGAAAGAAGAGCCGTTGTTTCCGCGGCAATGAAAAATAAGGGGAAAATTTGACTGGGAAATAAAAAAGAGAGAGAGAGAAGACTAGGAACACGAGGTTGGCCAGAGACTGGGGGTGAGGGGGTGAGGGAGTGAGGGAGTGAGGGAGTGAAATGAACGAGATGGATAAAGTCAATCAGACGCGTCGCCGCCTTGATGAATTGGCGAGTGGCAGGCCCGGTTCCAGACGCGTTTCAATCTGTGGTGTGGTGCGGTGTGGGCGAGTCTGGCCTTGACTGAATTGGGCTGGCTGCTCGCGTTTGGTTGACTCCAGGAGTGCTGTCCAACTCTATTTGCACTCCAGCTGCTTCCTTTTTGAGTGACGTGCCAGTTTGGGGCGGACTTGCTGCGTGACGCAGGGGGGTTTTGCTCGCCAGTTGGTCGCACAGGTAATTCAGTGCTGTTGCCGTGCTCCAGATGTCTCTCTTTGAGTTGGATCCATGGACTACATGCAGCCTCATTACATACATACATGCTTGCGTGGTGCCCAAGTCGGGGGAGGGTGTTATGCACAGCAGGATGGATCCAATTGTTGCCGAGAAATGGACTTTGTGTATTTCATAATCGTCGCCTTTCTTGTACAATACAAAACTCGATGCATACATGTCTCCTTCTTTCTTTAAGAGAACAAGTCTGTATCAAGGTTGCTTCCGTCTCCTTCTCCTTCACCGTCTATGGTGTGTAGCCACCGATTCCCACCCGTCCCTTTTTGAAACTTGGTTGTGCTCTTGACAACGTCAATTTTTCCAAAGGCAATCGCTAGTCATATCGACACACGCACACACACACTCTCTCTCTCTCTGTGCAGAGAGAGGCCCAATGATGGGCGAGCAGCAAAAGCCAACTTCCTCTCAGGAACTTCTTCCAGCCCCCCACGCCTGCCTGCATATCCCCTCATGTATTATTTGACCCGGAAAAAAAAAGGAACCAGGTCAACACCGAAAAACAGCCCAGAGCAAGCAAATGCTTCTGGAGATGATGAGATTGCTTTAATCGGCGCGGGTCTTGCTCTTGCCGCTGGCGCCGCTCTTGACGCGCTTGGCTACGGGACGGTTGATGTGGTGGGCCGGGATCCAGCTGGCATCGAACTCGGTCTCGGCACCCGTAGCAACGCCCGTGGTCTCGGTAGGCGAGGCGGGCTCGACAACCTCGGCGCGCTTGCCCTTCTTGGTGGTCTTGGGCCGCTTGGCCTGGGGGAACAGGGTCTGGATCCAGGTCTTGTAGACAAAGTAGACAGTGCCGCCAAAGACGCCGGTCAGGACGAGGTAGAGGAAGATGCTATATCAGAGGGGACCAGACCCCAGTCATTAGCCCAATTGCCCAAAAAAGAGGTGTCAGCCAAGAATACGAGAGAGAACATCTTTCTTACATCTGGGGGTCGAAAATGCTGGTGGGAGCCTCGACAATGCTGGCAGTGTCCCCGTGGGCCTGGAGCTGGAACATCTGGCCGGCAGAGTTGGAGATGAAGGCGAACAGGTTGAGCTGGACATCCTGGGGCTGCATGTCGAGCACAAACGAGTAAGGAAGGGCCTGCTTCTCGCCGGCCTCGACATAGGTGTCGTAAGTGACGGTCGACAGGTTGCGGATCACGCCGGCCATGGGGTCGGCGTCCTCGGGCAGGGGCTTGGTCGAAGCCAGCTGGCCGCCGACGAACATGACGCGGATAGTATCGGCCTCGTTGTTGGTGATCTCGACGACGGCCTTGGTGGGGCGCCCATTGACCAGCTTGACGCCAAAGATGTCCGAGTCGGGGAAGCTCGTGCTGACCTCGGCCTTGAGCTGAGGCTGGTCCTTGGGCGACGTGGGCGCATCCTGAGCCTGGGGGTTGCGCAACACACACGCGTGTTAGCAGAGATGGTCACATCAAAGTCAATGCGCGTACCAAAGACCACATGCCGATGCAGCACAAAGGCATTGGCAGAGCTCAGCGCAGCTGCTTGTGATCCGAGGAGGCGTTGGATGGCAAAGTTTCTGGGGTCGTGTGGGCGCATGTGCGCCAACACAGGGGAGTACTAACCTCAGCCTGGGCGAAGACGCCGACGAGCTGCATGGCAAGGAGCGCCAGAGCAGAGCACTTGAAGGAAACCATTGTGGACAGGCCGAGAGCAGGCAATGCAGTACAAGTTGGCAGGAGAAGAGGAGGGAAAAGGGGGGGAAGGAAGCCAGAGGAAGAGTGGTGATGATGGAGAAGGAGGATTGACAAGCAAGACAAGACAAGAGGTCGGGGTGCTCGAAATGCGTTCAGAGGCTGAAATGGCTGGAGTGCGTGCGTGCGTGCGTGCATGCGCAGGACAGGGCCTCCCCCCCAATGAAAGGCGTGGAAAAATGTTGTGTGCAATCTGGCCTCCTCCCGCCCTCCAAGCTTGCCCTCCACTCCCGCCACCAACACCAGTACCTACAAGTGCATCCATGGATGGAGGAGGGCCTAGCTCTGGTTTGGGGCTGTAGGGGAGCCTCTCAGTGCTTCTCCGTCGCTCTAGCGCACTCTTCGGCCATGCACAACCCCGAAAATTGCGGGATCGAGCTGGGCTAGAACAATCGAGCAAGGGTGAGCTTCTTCTGCCATTCTGATTCGCCAATGCGTTGCAAGCATCAAGCAAGCTCATTGCTGAAGAGGCTTGTCCTTGCAAGAGTTATTCAGATAGAGCTATGAACGTTCAAAGGGACCATCACCCCTCCACAAATGGAGGCAATGACTGTCCACCACACACAATACGAGGTTCGCTGCATTCAAATCCTAGTATACAATGCTAAGCTATAGGGGTGTTCGACTGCTTCTTCTGAATCCGTCCCTCTGTGTTCTGCTCGCTTTTGCCACCGTACTCTCTCCAACACCAACGCTGAACATCATCTATCTATACTGCGAGAACCCCCTTCCACCAAATCGCTGCGTCTTTTCGCTTGCCGGGACCATCCATCTGCTTCACACACGCCGTCAGAGTCCCCCATACAGAAAAAAAAAAGAAGCTACATCCACACTGCATGTGGAAAGCGGCGATGCGGCAAGGCAAAAGGACTACGCCATGTCCATGTCCCAGCCCTCCAGCGGCCCAAGCCCGCTAAACATGTCCGAGTCCCCGAGGTCCAGCCCCCCGCCGCCGACGGACCCGGCGTCCCCGAGCCCGGAGAGGTCCACCCCGTCGAGCGACATGGCCCCCGCGTCGCCCCCCGCCGCCGCCGCCGCCATCGCGTCGTCCAGCGCCGTCCCGACGTCCAGGTCGCCCGTGCCCTCGAGCGTCAGCTCCGGCTCCGGCTGGTGCTGCTGGTGCTGCTGGTGCGCCGCCGCCTGCTGCATCATCTGCTCCACCGCCGCCGCGTCCGCCGCCGCCGCCGCCGCGGGCGCCACGCTGCTGACCATCTGCGCCTCCACCTTGCGGTACAGCCGCACCACCGTCTCCGCCATCAGCCCGTCGCGCTTCTGGATCTTCTTCCACTCCTCCGCCCGGTGCTTGAGCGCCTCCCGCAGCGAGACGCGCCGCTCCGCCGGCGTCGTGGCGGTGGCGCCGCCGGGTCTGCCCGCGGCGTCCACCATGCCGTTGAGGTGGTGGCTGTTGTTCTCCGACGGCGACGACGTGTTGTTGGCGTCGGGCGCGCAGACCAGCGCGCACGCCACGTCAAACGCCTGGCTGCCGGTCCCGGCCGCCGTCTGGTCCCGCAGCTCCTCGAGCACGATCTGCAGGACGCACTGGGCGCCGAGCAGCCTCAGGGCGGCGAGCATCTGCCGATGCGTGTACGACGTGGGCATGGTGTTGACGCCCGCGTGGATGCTCCACTGTACCAGGTTCTGCATCGTGTGCTTGACCGCCGTCTCGAGGCCACTGGGCTGCGTGCTCGTCCATGTCTCGAGCTCGTTGTTGTCGGCGGCGCCCGTCCGTCGCGACAGCGGGATGTTGTCCTTGAGTGCCTGCAACAACGGCTGGACCTCCTGGCTCTTGGGGTCCTGGCGTTGATATACCCGTAGCGAGTGCTCGAGAGGCTTGGCCACCATGTTGAGTACCGCCGAGAACATGGTCGAGGCCTCGTTTGAGATTGAGTTGGGTTGTAGGATCATCTGGAGGACCCGTACGATAGCTTTCTGCTCCTCCGTCTTATCAACCCACAACGCGTCTGCGAGGTACATGATTGCCGTCACTAGTGAGGGGAGCAAGAACGTGTCCACCAGATCTAGAGGCAGAATGTCAGTCTTAGGAAACCCGCCAGAAGACGCGAAGGTACGAGACAACTTACACTCGATGCCACCCCGCAGACTCTCCTCCGTCAGATAGCCGCTCCTAAAAGCAGTGACGATCTGTTGGAAGAGGGTGGGGATCAGCATGTAGAAATCCTGCGGCGGGCACGAGGACATGAGCTCGTTGTTAAGGCTCGCGGCCTCGCTGTCAAACAGCCCGCGCACCCAACCACCCAGGTGCTCCGACTCCTGTGGTGTCAACTCCTCGAGCGACCTCTGAACGTGACCCTTGCCAATGAACTTGGCCACAAACGAGTCGGGCGAAGGGCGGATACCCAGGTCTGCAAGCGACAGATTGTAGCGGTAGACAAAGGCGAGGAGCAGCAAAAGTATAGCTCCAAACTCTTCGTATACCGGTTGATACTCACCCTGGTCGTCGTCGTAGCGCCAGCTGTCCAGCAGCTCGCAAAGAGGCTGCAGAATGGCCACCGGCTTTTCAAAGAGCAACATGACGTCCAGAGCAAGAGGTTTGCGTGCCAGTTGACTGCAGAACATCTTCAGTGACATCGTCTCCTTATTGCGACATAACTGACCCAGAACCTCGGCCAGTGCTTGGCAGACGGCCCCGACATTGCCGTCCATGTTGTCAAGCTCCCCGATGAGCGACTGGATCTTCTCCGGATCTGCCATGCACTGCTGCACCAGGTTCTCCTTCATGTACCGACCGCCCTGGGGAAGAGTCTGGTATGTCATTTCACCAAGCAGCGTCTCTATGCTCGATTCGGGCACCAGCCCGTGCAAGCAGCACGCCCAGCAAAAGTCTTGGCGAACGCTGTCGGTGAAGGTATTGCTGTTGTTCCTTGTATCGTCAAACATGGCGGATAATGTCGGGAAGGCGTTCGTGTCGATCCGGCTTAGCGCTTCTGAGATACAGTATTCTGGGTTGAAGGGATGTAGTGGCGATGCGGCCAAGGATGCCAGTAGCAATGGCAGCTTGTTGATGAGATACGAGCGGAGTAGGTGTGCTGATTTCTGGCCTTCATTGCGGAAGACAGCATTGGCGAGGACATCGAATGACGCCAGGATGAGGTCGATAGCGAGGCTCTGGCCGTCATTCTACAAGAGAGTGAGCTTTGACATTTGGGGTATCATCAATTTTCACTAGACATACCTCATATCGATTGTGCAAATAGTTGACCAACGCCATGTCATCGATCAATGGGCGACCAACAAGCTAAGCAACGTCAGCATGCTTGAATATCTTCGCATCAGTCGCGCGAAACGCCAAACACTTACCGCAGCATTAATGTAAACATACAAACCCGGCCGCGTGTTCGCAATAGGCATTTCTGGTATGACAAAATTGTCCAGGCCCATTGTCGAGTCCAGCAGGTCGTCAAGATCCTTGTTCTCGGCCTCTTTCTTCTTGTCGACCGGCTCGAACCCGGCCAGCGTCTCGGTGCGGAACAGCTCCAGCCGTGATGCTATCTGGGAACTGCTCAACTGGATCGAGGGGACGAAATTGCTCAAGCTTTCCGAGAGCGCCTTTCGCGCATCTATCAAGCCAAAGTCAGTATGTATATCCCTGACCCACGTCTTCCAAGAAGCACAAGAGGCACAAAAGAAGGACCTGAAATAACACAAACCACTCACCTTTGGCAAGCGCCTTACGGAGCGCACCCAGCACGACCTGGTTCTCGCACACGCCGAGCAGCAGCATGACGAACGCCGCCCGCGCGCTCTCCATCTCGGTCTGCGACTGGGTGATCTGCAGCTGGCCCATGACGTCGACGCCGGCCGTCGACGTGAAGGCGCTCGCGGCGGCCGTGAAGAGCTCCATCCACCGCGCCATCAGCTTCGACACCTCGATGGCGTCGGCGGTCGACCGGATCGCGGCCTCTTGCGCGACCGCCTTGGCCAGGCGGTAGAAGATGGTCTCCTCGTGGCCGTAGGAGCTGCGCCATCGCCCGGCCTTGCCTTGGTCGCCTTCCTCCCTCTGCGGCTCCCCGTGCCCATTCTGCCCGGGGTCTTGTTGCTGCTGCGACATGCGGGACTGTGTGTGCGACGTCGAGTACCGGTACAGAGCGCGCAGGACGGACGGCGTGTCGACGTAGCGCAGGTGCAGCAGGGTGTTGAGGTACCAGGGGATGCTGGGGTCGATGAAGTCGCGATTACTGCGCCGGGGCCGCAGGAAGAGGTCGGCGATGGCCGCGGGCGGCAGCGGGTGCTCCTTGAACTGGATGGGCGTGTACAGCTCGAACTTGTGGTGGTCGAGGCGCTTCCACAAGCAGCGGTCGAGATACGCGGACCAGGCCTCGACGTGTCTAGCATGCTCGCTGGCGCGGTTCCGCCTCATCATCGTCACTGTCGGCGTTGATGTGGGCGACATGACGCAGGTCGGCGGCTCAAGGCCGGCCAGTCATAGGGGGGCGGCGTGGACTCGTGGTTGCCGGGTATATACTTGTGGAGGGGAAACGAGGGTGCTGTCAAAGAAAGTCCGGAGTCGGGCGATGCGAGAGCGCGTACAAGTAGACAAAGAAGATAACCAATGTTGGTTGGAGCCAGAAAGCAGTCGTATGGAGTACAAAGCAGCTATGACGGGTGACTGGTAGACTATTTGGCGGCACGCAAGGCCTTTGATCAATTGAATGACCTAGGTAGGCAAGGCTGTCGGTAGTGGGGATGTCGTTGGGACTGATCACAGCTATGGTGGTAGCCGTGACGTTGTAGCGCACAGCCTCGTCTGGTCTCCCGAGTAAAAGTAAGTGGAGGTACAAAGCACACAGCTGTACTTTCAGGGCCTGTGAGGCTACACCTCGATTGGGCCAAGTCCACAATACAGTCGGGCTGGGGTGGATGGGGTGGGTGGCCAAATACGCTAACCCGGGTCCAAATAAGACTCCAGGCTCTGAGTTGCAGAAGACAACTGATGGAGGGCAGCCCTGAAACACAGTGTGCGTGACATCGAACAGTCGGGCTGTACCTGAACGGCAGCACACCCGTTGCGGAACTCGGCCGTTGCTTGATCGAGGTCGACACTTGCAGCTGGCTCCGTTTTCTCAGCTCGGGCTACCTTCGTATGCCTCCCAAGCCCACAATTGTAATCCCCGTCTTGTCTCCCCGAAATCCGTCTGGATACCAGGTCAGTGTGATCAGAGCACCCAGGCACCGTACCAGCTGCCGCGGCCGGTGGGTTCCCGGTGGCGCTTTCGAGCTGGGAGGATCCCTGACCTCTGTCGCTGGCACGCAAACACCACGACAGCCTTATTTCCCGGCGTTCTGCTCCCTTGGGCGATTCGCCGTGCGGTCCCCCTTTTCGATCACGAAGCGGAGGAAACCTTAAGCACGCACGAGTCGAGTCGAGTGCCGGAGGGGGGGAGCTCGCTAAGACTTACTCCGTACCTGGATACCTATTGCCGTGCTGATTGATGCTGGATCCAGGCGGCGGACCCTGAACCTTTCCTCAACAGGTATGCTTCGGCCCGCTCCCTACCCCCCCATTCTTTGCTGTACCTGGACCAGCACTGCCAACGACGCGCGCGCCTAGGAGGAGTAACCACCTAGCTTACAGACTTAGTATTATCAGATTTGACCCGGGGCACACTAGGTACACGTGCACGCCATCGAACAACATACATCCTAGGTAGCACGTCAGCTTGAAATCCTCCTCCCCGTCACACGACGATGGGCGACGGGGCAGGGGACACCGTCACGATGGCCAACACCACACACCGACGCAGCCAGACAAGGAAGGTTAATTGTGAAAGATGGAAGTTGCCGAAGCCAACGGCGTTGCCTCGTTTCCCCCCCCCCTGCCGCCAACTACGCCCTTCCTTGCCTTTTGATCCTAGTGTCGAAAAAAAACGAGCCAGGGACCGCCATGTCATGGGAGGTGGTTTCGTCACGCAAACGCACGCGCAGATTTGGCGTGGCTGAGAGCCAGATCCCTGGGAACTAAAACCCCGATCTGCGGTCATGGGGGCGGTTAAGGGTTTGATTGATGGGCGGCCAGTTCAACCCAGCACAGCCCGACCCCTCCGTCCCCTCATCTCACATGCGTTTTGCTCGGAGTTTTCCCCCCAGCAAACACGTCCACGGGCTTCCTAATACGTAGGTACAAGCAGGTTTCTTCTTGTCTCGGCAGGTTTGGGCTACTCCCAGGTTTTCTTGTTGTCCTTGTCTGCTCTTGACTGCACCATGCTCTGGGTAGATGGTGCCAAGTCGGGTACTTAGAGTAGGGTGCGCCAACTCCCGGGATGCTTTGTCAACCAACTGCCGATCAATTTGGAGGCAGCTGGACCTGTCGCACCCGAACCTTGTTCTAGAAGCTCTGCACGAGTGTGCTGAGTCCAACGGGGGTGTGCGTGTGTGCGTGTGTGCGTGTGTGCATGCGTGCGCCCAGGGACTAGTTAGGGTACCTGAAAACCCAGCTTTGGTCTCCCAGATGTCAGCTACGCTTGTCCGCCCTCCACGTCACCCCTCTCAGTCCCGTCTGGTCCCTACTTGTAGAAGTATCGGCTGTCCTTGCCGATCTCCTTTACCGATAGCGCCATCAGAAAAGGGAAGAAAAAGCAAAGAAGAAAAAAAGGTCGATCTGGTGTGTCTCAAGATGGGAACAGAAACTATGATATCTCACAAAGCAGCACCTCCCAGAAAAAGTGGACGGTTCAGTTGGCACCGCCTACTGGAGACGGTAGTGTGTATATGGATGTGATTTCTGGACATATTGGACCCCCGTGGAGCCTCTAAAAGAGTGATTTATCGGCCAGAGGAGAGCTAGACAAGTGAACCCCGGGCCCGAGCCCCTCTCCCAAGGGGAACACTAATATATGTGAAAAAGCCAGGCAATGGAATCCCCCTCCAACAGGGGAGGAGGGGCTGCCAATGCTGGAGCTTGCTGGTAGAAGAAGAATCTTGGGGATCGCGGAAGCAGGAGGAAGGAAGACAGTAAACTGGATATTGCAGTAGTGGCGTACTGTTTGCCCAGCCACGGTTTGCGGGAAAAGTGTTTTCCAAAAAGCAAAAAGCCGCCCATTTGGATCATGAATCTTTCTGGCTCTCTTCTGCTGCCACGGAGAGAGCTCTTCTGTTGTTGTTGGCCTCTTTTGGTGAAAGAATATTGCTTCTCGACAGCTGTCCTCCTGAACGAAAGATGTCCCTTCTATCCTTTCTTCTCGCCCTCTCGTTGTCCTTCTCGAAACGCCTGTGCCTATCGTCACCGGAACACACAACGCACCTGCAGCGCTCGCCTCTTCCCCCTGGTCCCTCCTCGGCGGGGAATGCCCTCGACCTAGACTCGTCTCTCGGTTTCCCTTCCTCTTTGCCTCTTGAACTATCTCTGGCACCAATCTAGTAATCGGTGGGGTCGACGAAACGGGGTCCGAAGATGAACCCATGTAGTTTACGTCGACAAGAGGGCACGAAAAGTTTGAAACATTTTCCGGGCCTCCGTCTTGAGGTTGCCACTGCCACCCGCTCGTCCGTCCCAAGGAAGGAGGATATACGAGCCCATTTTCTCTCTCTCCAACACACACGTCGGCGGCCGCCTGAATACTCCGTAGTTTTTTGTGTGCTCAGTCCTCCTGCTTGATCCCGCCCCTCTCGTCCTCGGGCGCCCGGGGCCCGAGCATCCAGTCCTGCATGGCGAGCCACTCGCTCCAGTTGGTCTCGGCCACGACGATCTCCTTCTCCGAGACGTTCTGCAGCGGGCGCAGGAACGGCACCGTCTGCCCGTCGGCCATGTCGTAGCTCGTCTTGACCTGCAGCCAGGTGTCGCTCTTGGCGGCGAACAGGTAGTTGCGCCGCTCCGCCTCGAGCAGCGGCCCGATGCCGGCCATCCAGTCGTCCCCGAAGAACCCGTGCAGGACGGCGGGGAAGTCGAACCCCGTGGCCACGAGCCGGCGTATGTAGGGCACCAGCGAGACCCGCGACAGCGGCGAGGGCGAGTGCACGGCTCCCAGCGGGATGCTCTGCGGCGGCGGCGGCGGCGGCGGCCGGGAGGCGGAGGAGGAGGAGGAGGAGGATCCTGGAGCCGGGACCGGAGAGGGGGAAGCGGTGCCCGCGGAAGACAGGATGGGCCGCACGGCGCTCTGGAACGGCAGCTGGATGTTGACAAAGGCCGCCACCGCCTGTATCGGCCCGTGGTGCTGGGCGTGGTCTACAAAGTAGCGCACGCACGACTGAAACTGCTCGTGCCACTCGAAGATGTCGAACCCCGAGTCGACAAACGGCTAGTGAAAACAAGGGAACTTTGTGTTAGTTGTCTGAACCGCTCGAGGACCCAAAACACGGGATGTGCGGGCCAAGGTAGGTAGGTAGGTAGGTAGGTAGGTAGGTAAGTAGCCCTCTTGCAACAAGCAAAGAGGGAAGTAAAAAAAAGGACAAAATTGCACAGGCGGTGAACAGCGGCCACTGCTTACCTCTGACTGTTGTAGAGAGGAGTTCCCTCCTGGGCGTGGGAATGCCATTGTGGAGGGACCAAATCCGCACCGGACCTAGGAAGCCTTTCGAAAGGGTTGTTTGTTTTCAGGAGAGTTGGGAAGGAGGCGGTCTTGACAACAGTATAGATGGGTAGTAAAGAGCGGCCTTTTTCCAACCAGCATCGAGTAGAATCAGGTAGGCCCCAAATGCCCCAGTACCGACCGGATGCTATGCTTTCCCAAAGCGTAACAGACAGCAAGCTCGAAGACGGCCGTCTAGTCGGTCCTCTTTAGTCTCGTTGCTTGCCAAACTCCACAGCCTACGGGCCGTTTACGGCCTCGTCTTGCAGATGTCCGGGAAAAAAGAGTGGAAGAAAGGCCCAGGAAACGGCGGCCCAAACTGGGAACGCTGATCAAGCTAGGGTGTGTGTGCTGCGTGTGAAGCTCTGTGGATGGCCGTGTAAATTGGCGGCAGTGCGAGTTCCTTGCCGGGGCGGGCCTTCAGGTGGAGTTGAATGGGGGGTCCCCCTGGGCGAGATAGATAATGATCAGAGTGCAGGGGACTGTTTATATAACTATCACGACCCGGCCTCGACCCGGCTCGGCCCCAAGTCCAGGGCGGTTGGGAGGGCTTTTGCTTGTCTGGTGACAGCGGATGGGTCCGTCCGGAGTGGGCTGGTATATGGTACGGTATGGGATGGGGGATGAGATGGGATGGAGATGAGGCAAGTACCTGCTACAGTTGTATCGCAGCGTACCTTGTGAGCATGAGCAGGAGGAGGAAGGAGGAGGAGGAGGAGGGAGGAGGAGGGGGGCCAGATGTGACAAGAGAAGCTGGGTCCAGGTGTCAGGCACGAGCTGAACCATGACGGGGTTCGAGAAGATCAAGACAGGCCACGGGTTGCAGGGACACACAGGGGGGGAAGCCCCATTGTGGGTTGTCTCTTGTGGGGGAAAACGGCGATCCTGAATGAGGTTCCGGGTTTGGGTTCCGCATCCAGGGCTTGACCCGTACAGACGTGTTTGAGCCTGTAGCTCGAGGGCGAGCCTGGCCTGGTCCAGCAAGGGACTGGCCTGGGAGCGTTTGCCTGTCCGGACCGGGCGAAGGAGACTGGACGGCGCGATAAATGACGGGAGAGCTAGGCCTGCAGAAGACCGGCATGCGCAGCGCGAGGCGAGAGAAGTCCTGTCTGGAGTTTGAGGGCGGGGATTGGAGGATGGGAACTCTGGAAGCGTGAGCCGGCCGCTCTGCTAACTCTACTTGACCACTGGCATCTACAGGCTACTTGCCAAACTTTTGCTGAACAAACACCAGACCCCTGCTTCCGTCCGGAGGGACCGTATCCACCGTCTGGTCTTTTTTTTTTCCCTCTCTTGTTGCCCTAGCTCATCAGTTGATCTCATGTACGTAGTATGTATGCGCGTGTATCTGTGTGACATAACTAGGTAGCTCCATCAGAGAGAGACAACCGGGGCGTTGTCTACGGACAGAGCTTTCTTCTTTGGGGAAAGGCGCCGGATGTCAGTGTCAAAATCGCCTAGTACAAGTAGCTCAGACGGAGTACATCCAGACCAGCTTTGCTGCAAGGATACTGGCACGAAGACAAGACAGGCTGGTACATAAGCTTGCTCGGATGGCTAGGTATGTACTACTTGTATGTAGGCACAGCAGCCATGTGGCTGCAGAGAAGAGGAGGGGCAAATTTGGGGGGAGGGAATGGCAATGTCTACGGAGCCTGGTCGAGGTCCCCTCGGCCTCGGGAAGATGGGAGGATTGGGAAGATGGGAGGATGAAGTGTGGAGGTCTCTCTGGGTGGATGACGGGATTCCGTGGATGGCCAGGAAGGCCAGGAACCACAATTCGATCAGGGTCCGTCGCTGACAGGGTTATGCAGGGTAAAGGAAGGGTAAAACAGACATGCGCCCAGAGGCTAAAGCTAACGCTGTGGTGGAATGGCAGACTGGGCCAGGATGAACCGGCTTGCCATCCAAGCAAGCCGTCCAAGCAAGCCGTCCAAGCAAGCCATGCATCGGTTTGCTGGCCTTGGGGGTTACCTTACGGAGTAGTTATTTCGAGCGACTCTACAAGTACTTGTACTAGAGGCGGTGGATGGAGCTGGGGCTCCAGGGAAGAGAGAGGCCGGCCTGCGCCAGAGGGGGCCAAGCGAGAGGTGGCGGCGTGTAAGAGAATCAATCGCCCGTACCCTAAGTTTCATCTGAGGTAGCCCACAGTAGCCGGCTGCAAGAAAGAGTCGGGCGGTCCACACGAGAGTGGAGGGCGCATATGTAACTATTTGATATACAAGTACCTCCAGTCCCATCCCGCCTACCTAGTACCTGTACCTCTGCCTCCTCGGGGCCTACAAGTACATGCTCGAGCTCCAGTTCGCGATGATGGAAGCGCATCGACGGCCAGGGCGAGCGGCGGGTGAACAGCCCAGGCGACAGTCGAATTCCAACGAGTCCGTAGCTTCTTCCTCCCTACCTCGGCAGCTTTGCTTGCGGTGCGGGTGCAGCAAGCAAACTTGACGCAAACCATGCAGCAATCACAGCTAGAAGGACGCCTTGCACGCACGCCCGCCCGCACGCCCTGGCGGCTAGCCCAGGATTCGCGACCTGCTTATCGAGATCCCTTCAGCTGCTTGGCATCTCTAATTGTCGATCTCCAAGCCACAAAAGAGGCGCTCGAGCCACTGATTGATCCTGCTCGGCCGCGGAGATTCGTCGCCCGCCCAGCACTAAGCGTCTGTAGTCGTGCTGACCTCGCTGAGCACGGCCACTACTGTTCAGGTGGCCCGGGGTCTTGAGTCGTCTGAGGTTGCTCGCCGACATGAGAAAGTTGAGCCCACCGAGGATACAACCTGCTGCTGCCCGAGACCCGTCCAGGTCCTTTTCGCTCTTGTCCGGACGGCGGCGGCGCACTACGCTAGGCGGCCAATGACAGTCTTAAAAAAGGGACGCGGAGTAGCATCCGGCGGCGATCCCTTCATTCATAGTCTTCCAAAGTCCACCGGACTGGGACAGAACTTGACAGTGATGCTGTCACATATCAGAAAGACAACTCAGCAGCCCCTGTCTGGCAGCGGGGGGTTAGACATCGAGCAGTCGAGACCCCCTTCGCAAGCCAAGCTGTGGGTGGCTAACACCGAAAGAGGTCGCCTCCAGTGACCAATTGGGCAATACGTGCGATCCAGCAACTCGTGGTTTGTCTCCGCAACCAGCCTATCACAGTACTCAAGAGCTTCAGAGCAGCCAAAGCAGGTTCTAGGCAGTGCGCTGTGTGAACGGCGTGGCCACTCAGGAACGGTCGAACGGGGCGGGCATCGTCCACCAACACTCCACGAACTCCACTGCCAGTTGGACGCGGAACTCAAATGGCTGATCCTGATTGTCAACTGTTGTATTTGGAATGCCCTAGTTCTCCTTACTCCCTGTTGCACACAGTCTGCTATATCAAAAGTTTGCGATCTACAAACGCCCGGCGCATATCGTCCGCCGTTTTTTTTTTCAACCGTGAGACACTGGCTGCGTGAAAGGGAGAGAACAGACTCTATCTGCTTGTGCTACCCAAAAGCGATGCATGTCACCTGCGGAGGTGCCTGCGTCTGTGGCAAAGCACAGAAGTTCGCCTGGGGTCCTGATTCGGCGAGGCCGCAAAGGACGTCGAGGCCTGCCACGGCTATCAACTACCTACTTGATTGGAAAGTAGTTGGCCGAATCAGGTATGCGGCCGGTGTTTCCGGAAGCAGGAACCGGAGAGATCTTCAACTTCTCTAGAGATCGAACCCCGCGTGTTTCAGTGAGACACCATCATCCAGGCAAGAGTTTGACTTGAAAGCGGACTTGGACCATCGCAAATGCTGATTGACTACATTCCCGTCTTGTTCTGTGAAGCGGTCTGATGCCAAGCCGTGAAGACGCCGTTTTGCGATGGTATTAGTCGCGCTGATCTATGCCGTACGCCGTGACTGGCGGCGCGCACCAGCCTCGTTTTCGCCCCGGTCATACGACTTTAACGTCTTTAGCTCCTCGATCTTCCCGAGTTCTGACTAGAGCGTTCGAGTTGCAGGGAGAGAGTGAACCAAACAGGCGGTAAGTCCCTGCGATCAACATGGCAGCAAAAGCAATGAGAATGAGGGAAGCAGATGGGGCTAGGTAGGCGGGGTGGCAGGCATCATGACGGAGGAGCTGACACATGGTGACCTCAACGAACCCGAGGGGAGTACCTATTATGTGCTCAGGTTCTCCGTCAACCCGTTCTCCCTCCCTACACAAGGACCTCCAATTGGAGGATTGCGGGTGGGTTTGGAGCTACCTAGAACCCAGATGCCTGCAGCACGTTCTTTCGCGTCATTGTATGCTGTGAAACGCGGGCAGAGAGCTGCACAGCGTCAAAGGCACTGACTGGCCAACGTTGGCTCGTCCGCCGACAGACCTTTCGCCTTGAGCTCGGGAAGACGAGCTTGACTTGCAATTTGCTTCTACAGCAGTGCCTATGGGATCTCGTACAACAACCGAGACTTGTGCTGTGCAAACCAGGGTGTTCATCACTGCCATATCTAGTAGCTGCAGCATCGAGGGGTCAGAGGTTCAGAAACTGGAGGATTGAGGGGCTTCAGCTCTCAATACGTAACTACAAGCACTCTAGTCTGGGGTTGTAAAAGCCTAACAACCAACAAACCATTTCTACACAGGATAACCTGGCTTAAAAGACCATAAGTCTCGGACCGGTTCAAGTAGCTAAGATGGAACAGGGCTAGGCCGCTGTTGTTGGCTGCTGGCGGGCAACCTGTCAGACTCGGCCGATAGCTCTCAAATTGACAGGCAGGTTGACAGCTCCGGGTCAAAGTAACTACTCATAGACTTACAGGTTCGTGGCGGGTACATCACCCAGTAGTGACGGATTAAATCATTGGATAATTGGTCTGCTTGGTCATGAACCTCCACCCAATTCTCGACGACCTGGCTGGCTTGGGGCAGGTGCTTCACGGGGCCTTGACGCCTCACCAACCCAGTTCCACGAGGCCAGAAAGCTTCTAGAATGCCGTGCCATGTGATGGGATCGGCGCCGTGTCCTTCTTTTTTCGTCTCTGCCCACCACTTCTGGTTCGTTGCGCGCGTGGGCCTCACCGCGGATCCAGGGCCGCCGCCGCACGGGACGCCCATCCTCTCGGTTCCCCTCGAACCCACCGCTTGGCCATCTTGGCCGACCATCGAGCTTCTGGGATCCTTGCGGGCCTTTCGTTCTGTCCGGGGGCAGCTTGGCATGACGTCTGCTTGAAGGTCGGCGGACATCAACAGACATCAACAAAGCCCCGTTCGGAAATCGATGGATCCGCCGACACGATTCTTCGCCCCTTGAGATTGCTTGGGCCACTGGGGCTTTCAGGGTCCGTCCTGCATGGCTTGTCTCGGCCTTCGACATATCTCCTTGGTTGGAGCCGCACGAGACGCCTACGCTTCGTCTTCCAAATCTCAAGTCGCCACAGGTCCGCCTCACAAATCGGTGCACCACTGGCTGTCAGCCCTCCAACCTGGCAGTTTGTGCTCTGTCCATCCCGCCGCCCCCCCTGATCCCGTTCTGGGGGTCCTGCGTCAAGAACAGACAGTTCTCGAACCCGCCGCCATACGATGCACTCGCCCTCGCCAATGAAAGAAAGAGTGAGGCGTGTTGACACGGCTCAGGCAACGCTAAACACGATCATCACGAGCACAGCATCTTTGATCCCGAGATCGTGAGGCTACCCTGCATATCGTGAACAGGTACACAACGCGCAAGGGTCTGGTCACTAGCCTGGTTCCGGGATTTCGGATGCAGTCACTTCAGGGTCCCCCAGCTGCAGCTACCCATGCATATCGTCACACGTGCATCACGACTTGTTTTTTTGCTCCTCTCATAGGCGGTCTGTAACCCTGCCAGCCGTTACCGGGGTCGGTGTTGGTGTTCGTAATGTGTACAAGGAGGTTGAAGAGGACGTGTGAGACTCGATTTGTGTTTGTTCCGGATCCCGGGCCCCTGACCCCCGGACCATCCACTGGCTAACGACCGTTGAACATTGTCATGTTACTCAGACAATCCGGTCTTCCAGAGCTGTTTCAGCAATCCTATTCCCTCGAGGCTTAAAAATGTCGATCCGTGTAGCATGATCCCGATACGCGAATTTTGGTTCCCTCTCGCCACACAGTCCATCCTGGACACCCACCAGCACTACTTGACGTCGCTTCGTCGACCTTTGCCATGCATCTTTTTTTTGCTTTCAGCCAGGCCTGGAAACGTTACATGCTCCCAGAACCTCCTCCCGTGTACGACCGACCCATCAGCCATGGGTGAACAAAGACCCTGCTTTTTGAGATGGACCAGTCACAGGAAACATGCTGCGTAACGACATGCGGTTTCGCCTCGATTTTGACGCAGCTTTCGGCCGCTTCGGTGATTAGCGAAGGAGAGAAAAAAAAATAGCCTGAAAGGCCAGCCAGCCGTGCTGCATGTTTGCTGCATGAGCCGCGGACTAAGAATGCGGTACAGAAGCAGCGGCAGCTGACATGTTTTCTCACGAGTACTCTGAGGGTGATCGACAAGAAGCAGCTCTCACGCGATCAAGGACCTGCCGCTTCAACAATCATTGCAAGCCAGAGTGCAGGAACACTCGTTTGATCTCAAGGCAAGATCGGACCAAATTCGGAGTGACTGGTTACCACTCCCTGCCGTGTCAAGTGGGTGTTTGAATAGTTGACAGAAGTTCATCAGGAGCTACCTCAATCTTAACAATCAATATCCTAGTCACATCCTGGCCCTGGAACTCGAAAGGGCTATCCCACTACCTAAATCCGATGGGCTTGATGGATAGTCGAGTACTCCTGTTAGCAGTCCGTCAACTGATGGTCATATTCCCCTGCTCGCGGTCTACCTTTGCAGGTCAGCATCATTCGTGCAGTTCAGACAGGAGCGACTGTCTCGAGCTTCTCTCAGGAGTCTCGATACATATTGGAACATTCAGGGTGATTAGTTCAATAGATAGGGAGAGGTAGGGAGGTCCTGCGAGCCTCAGCCCGGATGGGATCCGAGATCACGACTCGATTCCTTTCAGACATAAACAACAAAGAATCTTGGCCACCGGTTGAACTTCCAAGTTCACTTAGCAATAGCTTCTCATGATCTTCTGAACTGTTTCCAAGATTGCTTCAAGGCTGTCCTCGGTATCTCCCATGTACTTTGAGATGACTCGACGACATCTCCGACATCACTTGTCAAAAACGCAAGCCAATCCGGGTTTTACTTGATCCACTGTTCAGCTTGAAGTGAGCAAAGCAGGCAGTTTATCTAGGCACACGACTGGAGTGGCGCTTCTGGTTCGGCTTCTTTCATACCAGCTTCCAACACTTTGTCCTGAGGCATATCCATGCTCAAGGTCTACTGCAGAGTACCTTGTGAGTGGACACAAAGAATGAGCGCAGGAATCGAGATACTGATAGGAATCTGTCAGCTTGGCAAGCCATGCTCTGCTTAAAGGCCGAATAGTGGGACTGGAACTAGACTTCGAAGATTCGATGCGGCCCCTGACCCTCGGAATCGTGGTATTGGTCAACTTGTCCATTGGTTTTCTCCCGTAGCGATCTCGTGTCAAAGTTGTTCGCGTGGCACGGGAGGTAGTTTATAGCATATGAAGAGCAAAGACTTGGATATCTCTGAAAGGTTTGCTGCTGATGAAGAATAGGAATCAGACCTACTCCGAGGAGAGTTGAGAGGAACCAAGCTGGTCACGGCAAAACGAAAAAAAGCTCTTCACCTCGCTCAGATGATTTTCTCCCTCTGGACCAGAGAAAGAAAAGAATTCGACGTTGCATCATATGTTCACGAATAGCTCCTCGGATCATAAGGCTGGCTAGCGGTGGAGATGCTCATAGCATTCTTGTCTGGGTTGGATGAGACTTCGGAGTCGTATGAAATGCGGAAACAAGCATGAATGCCCTGGTCACCACCGTCTTTAAATTTGTGTCCTGAACAGTAGATTGATCTGCCCGGGCACGTCCCCAGGTCCTCTCAAGAAGTTGCAACCCCCAGCACCGTCGGAACCTGCCACTCCAAGACAAGTCTTGATTGACGGGTTTCGGCCGGTTGACAGCTACCGATCTTCAACGGCTGTGGGCCCGCGCCGGCGACAGTTCATCTCCGAAGACGGACTCGACTCCGATTGCTAACGGCAAAGAGCTCCCTAGCGCTGACGCAGAAAAAGGGCCCAACGGTTGACCGTGGACTTTGACAGGGCAGCTTCTTCCCTCACTTTGATGTAGTTAGTTGGTTGCCTCTGTTCGAACCAGCTCCGTTCCTCTCGACCGGCTCAGCCATCCTCTTCGTGATCGTATCCTGCACTAACTACCGTGGAACGCAAACAGAGCTTCACAGTCCCGAAGCTTGCGAGGTGTCTTGCATGCTCCGTCAAAGAGCTCACTCGAGTGGACCGGGAAACGAGCAGCGTGGAAGCCCAAGCAATGGGAGTCGCGAGCCCCCTGTCACCAGTTGCAATTTATAATTTAGGTGGTGGCTAGCAGCCTGAGCTGGCTGGCTTGGCACGGGTTAGCTGGCGGGCTAGCGCGGTGCGGCTTGGCTCAGCTAGTCCAGCTTTGTGCCAGCTGGACGCCATTCTTTTCCTTTCTGGTGCAAACGGCCCAATATTCCGCGACCTCGAACACGACCAATCCCTGGCCGGACGGACCAGCTTTCGTCCAACGGCCCCGGCTGCTTACGGAGGAGAATGCGAGAGAGAGGGCGTGGTGTGAGTCTTCCCTCCTCTGCTCCTGCTCTGTGCCCTCGAGAGTTTGGTGACGGGAGAGGGAGATGGATGGCTGAAGAGTTCAACTGGCGAGATGGCCAACGCCGAGATTTCGTGGCTTGCCTAGACTGTACAGTACGAAGGAACAAACAAGCCATGGCCACGTTCACCAGCGAATCAGCTTGATACCCTCGTCAAGGTATTGGATCTACCTCGAGCTTTCCCAAAGCAGTCCACCGGTGCGGTGCAGAGTGCAGAGGAGCAATGCCTCAACCCGACTGTGGCCAAGGCTGCCCCCGGCCTCTCGTGCCCTCGTGGGATCACTGCAGTCCGCGAAAGAGTCTCCGAGACAGCCGTCATTAAAAGTCCCGACCGGGGTCTGCTGCAGCGGCGGTTGGAGGGAATGTTGACCGGCAGGTACCTATTGCAGGGAAAAGAAACGAGAACCCGCAGGCTGGTGTTGCTCGAATCTGCCTGTCGGTGGGAACATGCTGCCTCTAGCGGAACAGCCAACGGGACTAGTCTCGCAGCTTGTCCCCAGTAGAGTTGGCACACGCACCAATGAGGGCATCTGCTCTCGTCAATCTAATTTCTAACTGTCTTCAGCTGAAGAGGCCGGTCCTCGCGCCATGCAGAGAGAGCCTCACAGGGCCTCATAAACCCCCGTCTCCCTCTTGGGAGGGGACCGGCCTTCGGACGCGTGCTGGTCTCAATCTCCCGCGTGGTCTTTCTCCCTTTTGCGACTTTTGGTCTTGACCCTGAAGGAGCCGCATCTCTTTCCTGCGACATCAAAGTCGACCTGCTTGGCATTGGGGAACTCTGAGACGACTTGCACACACCATTGAAGCTCTCATCGCCGCTCACCACACACCAAAAAGATGAAGAGCTTCGTCGGCGTTGCGGCCGTCGGCTGCATGCTGACCGGTGCGAATGCCTTCCGCAAAGGCGCTTTGAAATGGAGCAGGGACCAGGACGAGTCCAGCTGGTCACCCGCCCAGGAGACAAACCTCGCCTACATGCCTCTGCTCGCCGGCGTCCATGTCGGTGTCGAGGCGCCTGCGCCCACGCCGGCCCCGGACGTTGAGATTATGAACCTGCGCAAGCGTACGAGCACCGACAACACCTGCGCCTACGTTGGCGGAGACATCAGTATGCTTTCTTGCCCCTCTGTCTGGATGAGGAAATCCGACTGCGATGAGCTGCTGTTCTAACTCGCATGTGCAGACACGCCTCTCTACTGCAACCCGGACTCGGCATGTGTCTACAACTCAATCAATTCCAAGATCGGCTGCTGCCCGGACAGCTCGACCAAGTGTCCCGTCTGGACCACCTGTCTTGACTCGTCCGAGAGGAGCAGGTACACGGACACGACCAATTCAAACACCTTGTGGTGGTGAGTTCTGAACCCATCGACTCCATCCTCGCCCCTTGCGGTCAGTGCTGACATACTCGTCCGTCCACCAGCGGCTCGTCCGCCTACCCGTCATGCGTGACCCATATCTATGCGGACAAAGTCTTCTCGGGCTACACCCTGTTCGGGTGCGCCAGGAATCTGGACCGCACTGACACTGTCTACTACCAAGCCACCGACAGTTCATCCAGCCGCACCATCAGGGGCACCACCAAGTCCGCCGTGTCCGACCCCACCACTTCCGACCCCAAGACGACGCCCAGCCGCAGCACGACCCCGACCCCGACCCCGACCCCGGCCCCAGATGGCAAGTCCAACACGGGCGCCATCGTCGGCGGCGTCGTCGGCGGCGTGGCCGGCCTCGCCCTCATCGGCGCCGCCATCTTCTTCTTCATGCGCCGCAGCCGCAAGAACAAGAACATGCAGGGCACGCCCTTCCAGCCGCCGCCGCCGGGCCCCAACATGCAGGGACCCCCTCCGCAGGGTCCGCAGAGCATGTACGGCGCGCCCCCTCCCCCGCAGATGGCGCAGCAGCAGCAGGGCTACCCGCCGCAGGGCTTCGTGCCCGTCGACAACCGCGCCAGCATGGCGCCCTCGGCCTACTACGACCCCAGCAAGACGACCCCCGTCAGCGCGCCCGGCAGCCCCCCGCCGCAGCAGTATCCCTACGGCGCCACGCCGCCGCCGCCCGGCCAGCAGCCCTCCCCCGGGCCGTACGCGCCCTCGAGCCCGACCGGCACGGCCTACAGCCAGGGCAACGCGCCGCCCCAGAGCGCCGTGAGCCCGAGCAACACCAGCCCCGGCATGGGCTACCAGAGCGGCCCCGTGCCGGGCTACGCCCAGGCCCCCGCCGGCCAGGGCCAGGCCCACCCGCACGAGTTCGCGGCCGAGCTGCCCTCGGAGCGGTCGGACCGGGAGCTGAGGGAACTTGCCTGAGGGGGGGAAGAGAGTGAGAGCGCTAGTGAACCAGTAGGTGTATGTTTGAGGCGGGGTGGAACTTATATCCGGGAACGAAGGCAAGAAGAGGACGTTGTCTATCCAGAATGGGAAGAAAAGAGAGGGAAAGAGTCACACGCTCGTTTCTTGCTTGCACAAAAAGACCTCATCAAGGGGTTTTTCGGACGACAGCCTGGTCAAGGAACCACTTGTTGGATGCTTGTTTTGTTTAGGCTTGGGGATAAACTGCATGCATGGTTTGAAAGGGATCATCTTTGCACTCTATTTCGGATTGGTCGCAACTTTCTCGACGCCGTGCTTATACCGATTTGACGTACATATTTTATACGTAATGACACACTTTATTAGACAATACTGAGTCTGATCTATTGAGTAACGGTGGATGGTGACAATGCTTCTCGATCGGCCTCATATCCGGTGGTGAAGCGGTGACATGTCTTGGACGCCCCAAGATCTGAAGTGCGTTTAACTTCGAGGTTTCTCTTGGTATTTATTCAGTGTGACTCTCACAGCCACAGAAAGTTCACGCAGGATAAGTAGTTACCAGGCCAGCACAAGCTACTACTGTCACCACATGGGAAGCGATCCATGTCTTTTCTCGGTCTATCCCTTTCTACAACCTGCTCTTCGTCTTCGCTTTCGACGCACGCCATTTTACATACGGATGTATCTCTGGACCGGGAATGAGATGATCCACGGCCAGAGTATTCACCAGGCCAGGATGAACCTGGTCCAGACTCGTCACGCCGCACATCTTCATCGTCGTCTCCAACTCGTCCTTTAGAACTGTTAAGTGATCACCAGTCAGCCAGTCAGTCTCATCATTTACCCACCCCAGATGTGTGAGCCAAGGAAAAGAAAAGAAACAAAAAAAAAAGGACGACTCACTGTCGATGTACCGCACAATCCCCTCCTCGCCGTAGTTCACGCCGTACAGGATGCCCCTGCCGACGCCCACGGCCTTGGCGCCCAGGCACAGCGCCTTGAAGATGTCGGTGCCCCTCGTGATCCCGCCGTCGACAAAGACCTCGAGCCGGTCGAACACGGCGGGGCAGTTCCTGTGCAGCTCGAGCAGCACGAGCAGGGGCGCCGGCGAGGTGTCCAGGCTGCGCCCGCCGTGGTTGGACAGCACGATGCCGTCGACGCCGGCCTCGGCCGCCGCCACGGCGTCCATCCACGTCTGCACGCCCTTGAGCACGACCGGCACGCCGGGGACGGTCCGCCGGATCCAGGCCACGTCGCGCCAGGAGACCGAGTCGTCGATGAAGCGGGCCATGATGCGGCCCAGCGCGCCGCCCTTGGCGTCGCCGCGCGCCGCCGTGCCCGCCAGGCCCGTCATGGGCGTCGCGACGGCGGCGGCGGCGGCGTCGAGCTGCACCCGCTCGTCGGCCTCGCGCTTGCCCGGCACGGGCGCGTCGACGGTCAGGAACACGGCCGCCGCGCCCTGCGCCGCCGCCTCGCGCAGCAGCGCCTCCGACCTGCGCCGGTCCCTGTCGACGTAGAGCTGGAAGTACACCACGGGCTGCTCTTCTTGCTGCTGCTGCCGCCGCCCGCGGCTCCGCTCCCGGCCCGCGGCGACGATCTCGCGCAGCGGGAACGACGCGCTGGTCGACACGCACTGCGGGACGCCCGCCGCGGCGCACCCGCGCGCGACCTCCCGCTCGCCCTCCGGGTGGAACTGCCGGCCCATCGAGGTCGGGCTCGCGAAGAGCGGGAGCCGCGCGCGCCGGCCGAGGAAGCGCGCCGACGTGTCGGCCCGCCCGCTCACGTCGACGAGGACGCGCGGGCGCAGGCCCACGGCGGCGTAGGCGCCCGCGTTGGCTCGCAGGGTGTGCAGGTCCGTGGCCGCCGAGGAGGCGAAGGCCCAGGCCTTCGGGGTGAAGGTGCGCGAGGCCGCGGCGGCGAAGTCGTGCGCGCTGATCAGCGTCGACAGGGGCGGCTTGGTGCTGGGCGGTGCCGGGGGCTGGGACGAGGTGGCTCCTGACGGTAAGCTGGGCTGTTGCTGTTGCTGTGTCGGTTGTGGCCTCTGCGGCGGAGGAAGAGTGCTGGCGTCTATGGAACCGATGTGCTTGGCCGCAGGGAGATGGTCTTTGATGAGCGAGGGCCCGTGAACCTCGTTGTAGGCGGCGGAGGCGTCGCCGCCGGCGTGCCGGAGGATGATCTCCGGGCCGCCTGGGTGATCTGGCGTGAATTCAGTCATGTCGTATACGTTGCCGTCTACGGCGATCCAAAGGTCATCCGGGTTGTTGTGCTTCTGAACCTCTTGAGCAGAGAGCATGCGAGACATGGCGGGGGGTCTGGTTGGTGGTGAGCAGAGCGAAGCAATGGACAGTGATTGGGCAGGGCTCCCACGCGATCGAAGTTTATGACACTGTTTAATCCGACATCATTGAAATAGCCATACAAAACAGAAAGAGAAGCAATTCTTCAAGTCTTGGCCACCGAGGACTTGTGTGTTAGTGAGCGCGGGTCCCTCGCTCGGAGATGTGCCGATGTGGTGCGGAGAGAAGTCCTGGCTTCTCCACCGCACCGCACCCCGGATTGCACTCCATCGACATTCCCGGCGGGGTTGGGAAGAGACATGGCGAGGGGTCCAGCAGATCAATCTGGCGAATCGAAACGTGCGTATTAGGTATCTTTGAACAAAGTGTTATCTGCCCCATACCAACCCGTCCGTCTCAGCTCCCCTCAAGAGCCTTGACGACCAGCTCCTTGGGCCTGTCGCCCAGGTCCATCTGCAGTGCCAGATCCCGTCCGGCAGGGCTCATCTTGCCCCACGTCTTGCGCAGGATGCCCACCATCTTGTCCTCGTCGACGCTGGTCTCGAACGCTTCGAACTGGTCGTCGAGGAAGACGAGGCAAGCCGCGTCCTCCAGGACCTGCACCTCCTCGTCCTCCTCGCCGCCGGCCAGGCCTTCCTTCCGGATCAGCGCCGCGACCTGGTCGATATCCGCATCGGGGATCGGGGGCCTGATGGACGACGATCGGAGGAGCTCGGCGACCTGCACGGCGGCCTGGGCCTTGAGCTTCGCCCGCCATGTCAGGTAGCCCGGCCGGGTCATCGGGTAGCTACTCCGAGGGATCTCCCATCTTTTATTATGGTGGACGGGCTAATGTCAGTGGATCTCACACAAAACTCGAGCTCTAGAGAGACTCCCAACGTACCTCCGGAAATGCTGGGCCCTGCACGCAAGTTGCAGCACCGGCGAGGCGTCTGGCGCTCGCTTGGCCAGCCAGGCCGTCATCTTCTTGGCATAGTGCAGCTCATAGGGGGCGTCTGTCTCTGCGCCGTCCTTGCCTTTGACCTTGTTGGGGTCCTGCGCGTGTGCTTGATCGATGAGCTCCTGCGCGGTCGCAAAGTTGCCAGGTAGCGAGGGTAGTGACGGCGCCATGTTCAGGGATTTAACAACGCTTCGTCAATGACGGCTGTTCAACCCAAGCAATCGTATCGTAGCAAGAAATTGCCTTTTTTGGTCGCGTTAGGTGAGTCGTGAGATGAAGAAACAAACCCCGATTTCAGTAATCAGGATAAAGCCAGAATCTTATTGGGCGGCCGGTAGACGATGGAGTTGAGAGCGGGTCATCTCCGACTAACACAAACGCCGGTCTGCCAGCACTTTATCTATCGTTGGATGAAGAAGGTCAAGCATTAATGTATGAAGCATTTTTTTGGGTCAATTCCGACAGAATCCAGCTACTCAGTGAAGCTTGAATCAAAAAGCATTGCCAAGGACCTTGGGATAAAGCGGAATAAATCGTGGATGCGTTGCAACGATGGCGACCCGAATGCTCTGGATCATACTGCTCTGATGCAAGAGTATCCGGGGATAGGTGAGTGCCAGCTCCTACGAGTACCATGGGGTTTCGTGATGTGGCTGGCAGTGATTCATGGATATCAATGGACTTGTAGGCAGAATAGACTAGAAGCTGTCAAACAATAGGATGCAGGGTCAACGCAAGAAGCAAACGCGACAAGCACACGCAACACCAGACAATAAATGGCATTGAGCTCTTCCGAGGGCCCAGCCATTGTTCCTATCTGTACTAGGGCGTTTGCTGCACGTCGTAGATGTAGTGACATAAAAGAATCGTTCTTCACACCTCCCTCACTTCCACAAACACTCCCCTCGAGTCACATTTCGAGACCAACCTTTTCCCTTTCACTCCGTCACATACCAGCCTCTCCATCTTCCATAGCCAGGGTTCGTTCAACATGCCTCCTTCCAAGAAGAAGAAGAAGACATACAAAATCATCACCATCTCCTCGTCAGATGACGACGAGTCCGGCCCCGCCTCCTCAGGCTACGAGTCCGAGCCGGTCTACAAGCTCAAGAAGACCAAGAGCAAGATGAAGAAGAAGAAGAAGGCCAAGCCCCCAGTCAGCGAGACAGAGAGCAGCAGCGCCGCGACTACCTCGGACGAAGCAGAGCCGTCCTCCTCCTCCTCCTCCTCCTCCTCCGCCGCCGAGACGACTTCGGCAGGAGGCGCAGCAGCAGAGACAACGTCTGGCGAGTCCACCTCGGCCAGCGCGGCGTCCGCCTGGACGCCCTCCGAAGACGCCATCATCCGCTCCATGAAGGCCGGAGGCGAGACCTGGGCCACCATCGCCAAGGCGCTCCGCCGCGGCAAGAAGGAGGTGCAGAAGCGGCACAAGGCCATCGGCTCCGGCTTCGACAGCGAGACCGACGCTGCTTCGTCTGCCGCGGCGGCGGGCGGTGGAGGTGCAGAGACCACTTCCGGCGAGACCTCCTCCGCAGGGGCGGACGACGACTGGACTCCTTCCAACGACGCCCTCCTGCGCTCCATGAAGGCCGGAGGCGAGACCTGGGCCACCATCGCCAAGTCCCTCCGCCGGGGCAAGAAGGAGGTGCAGAAGCGGTACAAGGCCATCGGCTCCGGCTTCGACACGGACACGGAGGGAGAGACGGCCACGTCGGCCGCCGAGGTCACCACGTCCGGCGAGGAGGAAGAAGCTACCACGTCCGGTGATGACGCGAGCGGCGCCGGAGCCGGCGAGTCCGAGGACCGGAGCAGCGAGGTCGACTCCAACGTCGCGCCGATCTCCTCGGCCGACGAAGAGGAGAGGCTGGTCGCCGCCGAGAAGGCGAAGAAGAAGCGCAAGAAGAGGAAGAAGCAGAAGGAGAAGGAGAAGGAGGAAGAGAAGCGGAGGCAGAAGGAGAAGGCGAAGCAAAAGAAGAAGCAGAAAGAAAAAGAGAAGCGAAAGCAAAAGCAGAAGCAGAAGCAGAAGAAGGCCTCGAAGAAGCCGCCATCGACTTCGTCCTCGTCCCCGTCCCTGTCCTCCTCATCCTCATCCTCATCCTCCTCATCCTCATCCTCATCCTCATCGGCCGGACCAGCCAAAGAGAAGAGAAAGGAGCAGGAAGAGGACCCGCTCGAGGCCCAGCGCAAGTACCTCTGGTCGACCGTGTGGCCAGCGCGGTACCCGCCCACGCTGCGCCTGCGGCCCAGCAGCGGGCTGAGCGCCGAGGACTGCCGGATCCTGGGCGTCATCGATGCGCGGCAGCGCTGCGAGCGGTGGCTCGAGATGCAGGCTGCGTTCTGCGGCGCCACGGGGCGGATGGTCGACGCCGAGGTGCTGCGGGCCAAGGTTCGTGAGGGCAAGCAGAGGAAGAAGAGGCAGGGTTGATGCGTTCTCGTAGCCCATATTATCGTTTAGACCTTGAGTTAGGGATATCAAACTTCAGGTCTTGGGCCATCGTTGCCCAGTCAGATAGAGAGATCAGCGTGCTGCTCTTTAATGAACTCGTGATTCCACTCCATCAAGTCAGCCAGTGAGCATGAAGAAGACAATATACAGACATTTCAAATTATAGATTACACTATTATTACATCAGATGTAGAACACGTCTGCCCATCCAGTCTTGCTCCCCCGCCTGACAGAGCCGCGAATGCATGGCTCACAGCGGGGAGAAGGGGCAGACTCTCCAACACCATGACTCCGTAAAGCCCACCTAGAATGTGAAATGGGGTATCAAGCTGGATAATCAAACAGAACCCTTCCTCAAGTGGACGCGGAAACTTCGAGTATGGATGGAACGCATGCTCGGGGGGATCGGTCTTCTGTCGTGTGTGTGTGTGAAGGTGTTTGGTGGTGGGTTGGATAGCATTGGCCAGGTCGACGGGCGAGATGATTCTGTAAGAGGCCCTGAGGACAGACTGGGCTCAAGACTCGCTTTTCCAAGCTGATCCTCGATGGACAGACAGGCCGGTTGTGGGCTGGGCTCGCGTATGTCGGAGCACGGCATGTTAGCCAAAGATGGCCCGGTGATTGAAGGACTCGACCCTCGAAGAAGAGCCAGGATGCTCGCGGGGCCGATTATATCGCTCTTCAATAATGTTGGCTTGTAACTTCGCAGAACCCTTCTGTGTGTAAATAGTCCCCGGCCGACCGCCGCCTCATTCAGATAAACTCTGGCATCCCGGCCGCCGTAGTGGGCCCTGTTGTACTGGGCGGAGCAGCAGGCCCAGCCCCGTCCTGCTGCTGACCGGGTGCCTTAGTGCCCGAGCCGCTTGCTCCGAGGCCCCTCTTCATCATCTTGCCCAGCACCGTCACCAGCTCGCATGCGTCGCTGAACATGTCGTTGTCGATGCCCTCGGTGGCCTGGTACACTTCCGCAATGGTATCCTGCGCCAGCTTCCGGCTGCCCTCGGCATCGTGGACGCAGTCGTAGAGGAACGCGGCGTACTCGGTCTTGACGGAAAGCCGCAGCGAGTGCGAGCCCCATAACAGCTCATCGGCAAGCGCGAGCGCCTCCTTGAAATACTGGTGCGCCGCCGGCAGGAAGTCAATGGCAGGTAACAAGAAGTTGCCTGTTGAACTAGGTCCGAATCCGGGAGGCGGTCCTACGGGGCCTCCATCTTTCGTCTGGGCGACATAAATCGGAGGAGTTGCTGATATGGATATGTCATCTCTCGCTATGCCCTTCCCCTTTTCGACAGTTCGAGTTGCTGGGTCGGCTGAGCTGTCTGTGGCATCGGGGGTCGAGATGCCGACGTTTGATACCTGGGGATGGTTGTGGAATAGAACGAAGATGTGGTAGAAGGAAGCACGAAGCTTGAACGCGAGCACCTTGAGCTCGACATAGTTTCCGACCATAGGCAGCACGTACTGCTCGAGCATGACAAGGCCTTCCCTTGACAACCATAGAATATGGAAGTAGAGCTCGAGATATTGCGGGTTACTCGACGGATCGAGTCTTCGTTGTTTCCGTGCTGTGACGAGTGGTGCCGCGAGGTTAATAGACAACCCCAATATCTTGAACAGCATCGAAGAGAGTAGAGGGTTGTCGGGCTCAACGGCTTTGGCAAGCCTGCCGAGGAACTTCTGATCCACCTCCGAAGACGCCATCAAGCACCGTCCTCCCAGGCAAGTCACCGATCCTGATAAAATAGTCAGTCCGGGGACTGTCAAAACACTGTAGTAGCCAAGGCCCGTCGCGGAGCACCGAGTTGGAACTCGATAGACCTTTACGGGAATGATTTTGGTCCTCACCTTTTGCCTATGTCGTTGAGCCTAGGGAGATGAGGAAAGCCTAATTAACGCGACTCTGACGAGATGACGCAAGGTGAATGCTTCCTGCTACAATTCAAAATTGGATCAGAGACCTGCGGACTGAGGCTGTCAATAACATATCCACACAAGGGCCACCTGGCTGAGGTACGCCGAGCTTTCATTGGGGGATGAGCTGACCAATCTTGTCACGATAGGCTTGATCAGGTCCAATACAATTGCTGAGTGGGATAAGACCAATGAGAGGTTTGTCTTCCAAGGTCGTGCTAGCAACAGGCGACAGACGGCGTCACACCGGCCAGTCTGGGGCTTCGAGATGCAAGTGCGGTTCCGGGGTGCAAGTTGACGAATCTGGTCAAGTGCATGGCGCAATATTCCCGCTTGATGTTATATATACAAGGGCAGTGCGCTGTACAGTGGATGAACCGAGAAGTAGGCCGCAAGATCTCCGTCTCGGGCGGCTCAGAAGGTGAAAAGATTAAAGGTTCGACAGGAAGGCGAGACTATTCTTGAGAGCCAGGGAATGGCGCTGATAAGCCTGGTGAGCAAGGCGGTGTGGGAAACGGTCGTGCTCAGAGCCAACGGAAAACCTAAAGGCGGCAATCCTGAAGCAGCGTTCTCGCCTGTAAGGACGGAGTTTGCAGCGTTTGACAGACTGGTACCGCGTACAATGGCTGAAGATGTGTGTGTTCTGAGGCGGATCAGGTGAGGTTCGTCTCAAATCAAGATGTGGCCAAGGGCGTGGGACGTGCCAGCTCGTGAGCCTGTTCGAAGCGTTTCCAAAGGGCAACGAAAAAACCCGAGGTATGGCGGGCACCAAATTTCAGAGTTACTGCGGGTTCCGGAAAGCAATGATACTAGAGAGCTCGGCTGTATGTATCATAAAGGAGTCGTGCAGCGCCTTGCAGACCGCGCGCCTGTGGGCTTTCGGGTATGAAACGAGCGTGGTGGGCCCTAGCTGCGGCCACGGCGGTGTCCTCCTTCTCACTCCCACTCACTCCCAGCTGCTCGACTTTTTACTCGGGCACTCGCAGAACTCTGCGGCAGCGACTCGAGGTCCAGGGCGAGCAAGACCAGAGAAGAAAAATTGAAGAGGTATGTGGCAAGGCCAAGTCAGCGCACGGGGTGGTGATGGAGAGGTCCTTGGTGGTGGTGGTGGTGGTGGTATGTGCTCTCCAAGTGTCCCCGGATTCCTGGGCTGACGCTAACAACAGAGCTCCATGTGCGGGACGTGCATCTGAGCAGGGTAGAAGAAGAAGGAGGGAATAAGGAGACTGGGGTAAGGGATGTGTCGGTCAGGGAAAGGTAAGTCGAGAGATGCAGCCGCGCACGCGGCGATCGGGTGTTTATGTGATGCGATGCGATGCAGTGTGTGCGACAGGGACACACCGACAGGCCAAGCTAGAGATTTTGTGCGGGCTGGGATCCCGGCCAAGCGAATGGCCGCCGTTGAAGATGCAGGACAGCAGCAGCAGCAGCAGCAGCAGCAGCAGCAAGAACAGAAAGGCGAGGTCCTCGCTTGGGCGTGGGCGTGGATGAGGGCGTGCGTGCCCTGAACGCTGCAGTGCATGCAAGGTGAGTTGTCCACCGTCGCTCACTCCGTCCGTCTCATCCTGCCACGACCGAATGCGGATCGCACTGCGTACACCAGCCAGCCCTTGAGCCAGTTGGGGGGGCAAAAGGACGACGAGCTGTGCCTACCGACGTCAGGCAGGCCAGGGCAGGGCAGGATGGCGAAAACCTGTAGCTGGCGAGAAACGATTGGGCAATTCGTCAGTGCCCTCTCGAGCAATTGAAGGTCAGAACGCCCTCTGTGGGCCTTGGGAGGAGCGCCTCGGTCTTGGTTCTGGCCCTCTTTTCCACCTCCACCTCTTGGTGCAGCATGCAGGCAGGGGGAGCTGCAGAAGCGTGGTCGTGTCGCGCGATCGCCGACGATCAGGGAATCGTTGGATGATAGACAACGGCGCGCGTGAGTCTGGGCCGGCCCGTCGTTGTCGGCCTCTCTCTGTTTGACGGATCCGTGGAGAGACTTCAGGTCAGGCCAATCCACAGTCCAACACGAACAATGAATGCTGCTGCGCGCGACGGAGTGAAGTCAAGCTGCAGGAAGTACCTAGGTAGGCGGGAGAAATAGAGAAACACGGTAGCGAATGAGAGAGAGGAAGAGACATAGGGCGATAAGATTTGGACTTTGTTCCCCCCCCCGTGCCAGCTCCGGCCAGATCCTGGTGGCTCTTTTTGTTGTAATGTAACTACAAGTATTGATTGACGCAGCTGAACCTGGGCTGGTCGATACATCCGTGGATGGCATAACCTGGCTCCCGACTGGGTCCTCCCAGGCGACCCCATCTCCCTTCCAGGTGTTAGTGCCGGCGCCACGACCAAGATTGAGTGCTATTGAACCCTGAACGCTAGCCTGGATGACTTCAAGGTTGACAGGGCCATTTTTAGCTCACCGCATTCCAACGCAAATCCGGGAACGCGCCATGGAAAGATCGCCAGAGAAAGATTATGTCACAGCTACACTAGGTATATTTGACCTCTGCTATATGCAATGGCGGCAATGACCTCTTCTCTCTCAAAGGGATCATATATCATGCTATTGTGTCGATTTGGCGCCTAGCGCAATGCACACCGGCATCGACCACGACGAGATTGGGTACCTACCAAATATATCCAAGATTGAGGGCAGTCCGCGAGTGGTAAGCGTAACTGCTACCCTCGAGATAGTCAGCAACGGGACACCCCCAAACCATCGCGGCGGCAATTTGCGGGGACCGCTCACTCTTAGTTATTAGGTACGAGTTCGACGGGCAGATTTGACCATCCATGTCTCAGACATTTGTTGGTCCCTTCCCGCGCTCCCGCTCCCAAACCTGTCAGGCACCCGCCCGAGACCTCGTGTCTGCCGAATCCCATAATTAAGGGGTTGTCGTTGTGATGGGCCATATAAATATAACGGGGTCACGGTACGGATGGTCTCTCTCTCTCTCTCCAGTAGTTAATCTCACGGCACAAAGAGTCCCCATCCGAGTTCGGGTGATCAACCACGGTACCTGGCACTAGCAACCAGAAATGCTACTGTGACTGAAATAACCATGGCGACCTTGCCGGGCAGAGTAGCATTCGGGGGGAGTCCTCGGCTGGCCTGGAGGTTTAACTAACTACCCCCAAGTAACTTGCCTGTTTTGACGCGAGACCCCACGGCGCCTGTATTCGCCGAAGTGCATAGGAACGCCCGCACATACAGACCATGCACGATTCACTGCGCTGCAATGCAAGATACAGGTAGGCCAATACATTCATTCATACGGAGTACATACATGCATCAATACGGCACACATTCAAGCAAAGAAGGACAATGCACCGATTGGTGCCAACGCACAAATCCGTTCGCCAGCTCGCTCCGCAGCCATTCATGGACATCCATCCATATAAAACCCATCCATCCCCCCGATTCCCACAGCACTAGGCCTTCTGACATGCGACCCCTTCTCCCTTCCCTCCCAACCTACTCGTTTCTTTAGCCCCCCCCCCCCCCCCCCCCCCCCCCCCCCCATCCCCC